GTCAGGTGAAGTGGTCGAGCACAAGGTGTAGCAACAAGCAGGCGCATTCCCGGGAAACTGTCGCGGTCATGCTTGCCTCACGCACACGCCCGACGCCGAAGTTGAATTGTCTTGAACATTTTGTACGCGATGTGCAGCACAAATCACTGGAAGAGAGACTGATCCTCGCCATTTATGAGTTTCCAGAATCTATTACTGTTCCCTGCAAAACTAGATGTAGGCCTATCAGATAAAGTTATTTAGCCTATAATTTTAATTTAAGTTAAATAAGCTAAAGCTGTGTAGTGCACAGAAGCCATGGTTACTCTCAACAGAACAGCTGCCGTTTACTCGCAGAGCGCTGTCTTACTATAATAACGCATTAACGTGCCCAGCCCTAATATATACATTTGTATGGATAATGCAGTACTTTACAACCAGCCTGCAGTACCTTGATATTGCAGGCCACTGCTTTTCCATCGTCTCCTTTCAGCATGAGCTTCATGCTGCGCAGAGTGTCCATCGCCTTGGTGAAACCGCAGTACTCCTGGTACTGCACGTAAGCCTCAAAGTTCAGATGACCCCCGAAACTGAATGTGTTGAAGTTCTTGTCCAGCATCTCCTCCCTGTATGGGTCCAGCATTGGGATGTCAACATTTCGCACCTACAATCAAAAAGGTGGCATATTGGAAAAAATCAAATATGACGTTATTTTTGTCAGTATCTTAATATTGATGATGTCTTGATGTGTTTTGGTGATTTCTAGCAATATTTATGTGTGCGCAAGTGTTCTGAGTCAAATAAGTTCAGAAAAGTCTGAAAGACTTAAATGTTTTGCATACAATCAACTCTCTATTTAAACTTTATTGTTTGAGTGAAACATATTTATTAACTTCCACAAAAGTCAAAACATGCCGAATCGATCAGTTTGGACTACAGCTCTACACAGCATTTACTTTCCACCCCTCACTATGTCACTTACAGTAAGGATGAGTGGTCCAAAAAAATCCCCACAGTCAATGAGACATTAACATATTTCAAACTAACAAATAACATAACGTGAATTCAGTTTTCAGGTTGATTTCATGGTAAACACAGAAAAGCAGAAACAGAAACATGTACCACCTTGCCAAATTTCTCAAAGACAGCAATGAGGACCTCTTCAGAGGGCCGGTCTGGGTAAGGACTGTCCTTCTGGCTGAACCAGCGGCAAGGAAGCCCCTCCAAGTGGATGGTGTCAGGCCTCTCTCCAGGCACAGTCTCATTCATATCCTTGGCATCGCGGAAGAAGGAGTCCCAGTCATGACGAGTAGGGAAGTCCACCTTATTCTCTACTGCACGAACCTGAGGAAAGAGGGGGAAAGAAGGGTTTATATACACTCAATTGCCAGTTTACAAGATAAAACTAACAGTCTAATACAACAGCCTTGCCCGTTTTAAAGTATGTTTTTGAGAGTCGTTTGTGGTCATTTTGGAAACATTAATTTGTGGTCCACCTTAATTATCAGCCTTACCTTCAGTACGTCAGTAAATCCACTGAGTTTGATGCTCTTCCCATCGAGGCGGCTCAGCAGGCCCTTGACGATTGTCTTGTTCTCCACCTCACCCTCGAAGCGGATGAAGTCCATGGTGCTCTTGGAGATCCGCAGGGCTGAAAACTGCTCTGGAGCTACCATGGCCTTTACCCTCTCCATTACCTCCCAGTTGGAGATGCTCTTGCCTGGCAGCTTGAGCTGGGGCAGAGCCACACTAATGGTCATTTTGGCAATAGGCTTGAGGTACAGGCTGTACTCAGAGGACAGGCACACTGCCTCTGTAGTATCATGGACGATGGTGGTCATTGTTGAAGACATGAGGGGCGAGCTGCAGGAAGGTTGGAGAGTCAGTGAAGACTGTTAGCACATGTTAGCTGTACTTAAACCTGAATTAAAGGACTATTATAGTAATTTCACTGTCATGAAAACAATCAAAATAGCAGTGTACAAATGAAAACAGACACTCCAATAAGTCGGCAAACACTCAGACCTCATAGAAATTTGATTAAAAACGTTTTTAAAATAACATCACTGTCCCCTTTAAAATTTGTAACATCAAAATCAGAAGGTCGCACTTAAACTTCAACTTAACTAACTTAAGGATTTGGTTAACCTGTTACTTTCAGATATACCGATGTTAACATATTCTGTAGGTAAGGGTAGATATCTAAATTCAGATTTGTTTATGGCCCTTTAATTATCACTTTGTCTCATCAAACCATCAAGCATCAAAGAACTTGAGTTGACATTACTATTTTAGGTTACCGTATTGTTAGGTAACGTTACTAACATCGCTGTTTATTTCAAACTATTTGAAAGCTTTTAGTCGTTTGTTTATGTTAAGTAACGGAGACAAAAAGCTGGCTGTAACTTTTAAACCTGTTTACTGTAGTTAAGGTTTCTTACGTTAGCGTAACGATAGCTGTAAAGTTTAGCTAGCTAGCGTTAGCTCAGATTCTGAAGGGAGACAAACTCGAGGGCTGTTTAATGAAACAACTAACTAACTTAATGCAAATAATTCATTGACCACGATGGACACAACGTCAGCTATTCCGTGCAAAATGTTTTGGTTAATAACAACAGCGGACGTGAGTGTTGTTCTAGTTAACATTAGCCAGTTGCAAGCTAGTTAGCTTGAAGTCTTCTGTCACTCTTATACTTTTAAACAACGTACGAGTGCTTTTACATAACGTCACGCTAACGACAGCTATCACGGTAGATTTCTCGGACACCTACCTAACATCAGTTAGCCTCCAAACAAAAATATCAACAAAATTACTGGACTGACTTATGGAGATCCAAACACTGCAGGAGACAGAAGAACCGAAACCCCCACTAACCTACATGCCACTTCCGCATGCAGTAAACTTTGACCCTGAAAGAAACAACGTGTAGTGGAGGTTTTATTTCAGTACAGCGACACCATGTGGAAAAGAAAGTGCTTCAACACAAAATGCATTCAGTGTGTTCATATGAGAGAGTATAAATACGGTAAAGAAAAATACATAAATAGGAGTAGTAATAAAACGCCACAAGCAGGGATTATAATTTCATAAATAGTTTGTGTAAAGTCTATAATTTCAGTTCAGTTTTAATAGCTTTTTTGTTTTGCGATGAGGTTATCGAACCAATATATAACTTAATTTCTCTCTTAAGTACAGAGAATATTGGTTTAGATTTAGCAAATTTACATTTGTAGCAAAAATTATTACAAGATTAATTATTATTAATTAAGAAATGTTTGTCTTTTAGATCACATTCAAGATTTATAAAAGCATAAACTATCTTCTTATACAGTAGTCCAAAATCAGAGTAAAGAATGTGGGAAAAAGTCGCTTATTATTGATATTTTCATGTCTGGTGCATCCAATTGATTGGAGTCACATAATTCGTTAAATGGAGATCACCTGTGTGTTGTTAAGGGGTGCCGATTGATTGCAGTATAAATACACATATTTTGTATTTTATGTTTACCATTAATTTAGATCACTTTGTAGAAATTAGTTTTCACTTCAATATTAACAGGTCTTTGTATTTTAGCTTAAAAAAGAAACAATAAATCTACTCTAAATCAGTGTTGTAAAACAATAAAACAAGCAAACCACTGGGTGGGTACTTTTTATAGGCACTGTATGTCACAAGACAACAGAACATCCGGAGGACAGTGCACGTTTGTTACTAGCTTGATGGCTATTTGGCACCGTTAGTCACAAGTTGGGCTTTGAATGAATGTCATCATCACTGTGGTAACTGTTTTGGGACAGAGTGAGAGATGGGGATAGATTGGACATGGATTAGTCTAACAGTGGAGGCCCCAGGCAAAAAAGTTGGCACAGTTTCCCTGAAAAGATGGCAGAGGAATTTACATAATAGGCATTACTCCCTGCACTTTGAATGTAGGTCAGTAGCTGCTCTCTACTCCGTCCCGATCAGCAGTCATCAGAAAAGCTGCCTTAGGCGACTAGAGTCTTGAATCACCGACCCATGAAAAACTTCATCCCTTCAGTGACCTCTATAAATCTGGTTTGACTAGTAGATGAAGGCAATAAAAGAAATCAGAGAAACATCAAACGAACATACTCTGACTCTAGAGCAGTTACAGATACACAGATTGTAAAGGCCATGTACATGTAATCCTGTTTTCATGTGGTTAATTCGTGCTGGCAAACATGAAGTGCAGAACAGACCCAGAAAATCAGTGCCACAAGACAATTGTCAGAGGAGTGGTTATCTGTCCAGTCACAGGCTGACTGGGAGTACCATATCACTCTCACACATGATGTGCATAATTTAACTTACTCAACTTTTCACATTTTTTCCTCTTATCCTCAGTGACATGCTGGGGTCAACAGGCTCAACAACTAACAGAAATAAAAATACTTGTCCTCTTTTACTTCTTATTATGTGTAATATTCTGATGAAACCTTGTGTTTGAATGGTTGTGAATTTGCATTAAAGTTTATGTTTTACATCCGAAAACATTCACAATGTTGACCCCGATTAGACCAGTGTAGACTTAAATGTCAGTCCAGATCAAGATTTTATCTTGTGAGGACCTTTAGTCTTTGTAACAATAGAAGTACACTCACACTCTCTCTCACACACACACACACTAATACACACACAACAGGTGTAGAATTGGGACTGGCTATTAATATATTGGGTGCAGTGTTACATGGGCAGCTTGTAGACAGGAAGCTCTGGATGTACTGTAAATGCTGGACCAAAGCTGGCACAGAGGCTCATCAGATCATCAATTATTCAGCACCACCAGACAAGGACAATCACATGGCGTCAGCAGGACTTGCAAAGGAAATAGCCTGCTTCATTTTGAGCTTTGGTCCATTCTGGTTGAATCTGGCTCTTAGTATTCATATTATAACAACCATCATGTGTCTAATCCCTGCCACGAATTGTACAGTTTGTTCCTACATATTCTGTATAGTTGTTTGCTCGGTTGCTTGTAATAACACAGTTAGTGTCATGCCGTTTTTATGCAAACCATTATTGCTTTATTTCACATTCAAGGACGAGACCCAGAGAGAAAGTTGACAGTGGCTCAGTAACAGAGGATTCGCACCACTTAACTTCACAGTATTCACAAAGAAGACTGACATACAGACATAAAAATTAACAGTGCAAAGCATTTACATTTCCCCTATTCATGCATCTGAAAAGGTGACATCGAAGTAGGTTTGTACAACATATTTCTACATCAAAAGAGTCAACGTACAATTACATGAAGCCCTATGAAATGCTACAAAATACTAAGTTCATGAAATCTAGGATGTGTCATTGATCCGATAATCAGGTATAAGTAAGGTTCACATATTTGGGAGAACAGTCTAAAAAGTCAATGTGCTCCTCAGCTAAACATACAGCATATTCTGGTCTAGACTCTTCACTATCTGCAGATGCAATACAAGAGGCTGTATAGGCAATTTATTAAAAATCTGGTCCAAAGTAATCAGGTGTATATGAATCAGAATGTTTGGTTGCATATTTACTGTAAAACTAATTAGTGCTACGCTGTTCATCTGTGGAAAGACCTTGAGCTGAATAACTTTTCACTAAATTAGATTTTTACATGAGCCACTTCTGCATGAAACTATGAGTCTATGATTCAGAACTGTACTTTAAGTTGAAAGTGGTAAATATAATCCATTTTAACCATTGAAGATTTGCTCAAAAAGACTGCAATCTGCTATTAGAGGCCCATACCGCTTAAACTCCCCCACAAAGAAGCAGTTTAACAATGAGTGAGCCAGACTCAAAGTATTTGAGGTACATTATAGTCAGTAAACAACATCAGTTCTCCCTGTGCTTCCACCCTGTGAAACAGTCTGACTGTGAAACTGACCAGTGTCTTTATAAAAGGTACATGGATCTAACTAAAATCATGCCAGCCTGGAATTACCCTCCCATCATTGTGACTACCTAACTTTTAAATCAGTGTACTTTGTTTAGGTTTCAAATATTGATCAACAGAAGTGAAAGATATAGTGAAAAATTACATAGTCTAATTTGTATGCTTATATATACAGTGCATTATACATCTAAAGGTGTAGCAGTTTGATCACCCTGTAATATTGTGTATACAATGTTAACTTATAAGTATGACACGGGACTAATAACAGCTGGCATGGTTTTAGTTTGAGCCGTTTCCTCCCATAATGATGAACAATCTTCAAAGTGACAAGTGCAAACATCACAACTGTACATGGTTGTTTGGACATACAATAATTCTGTGGTTACAAGAGTTTGAATACTAAAATCTGTTAATTGAAAATAAAAAAGATTTCATTCAGAGATTTACAAAAAAAACCCCAGCACCATCCAATAAAAGGAGGCTGAAATATAGAAAATGTGTTCAATAAATATATTAATTTACTCTGCAAACAAAAAACATGTTTATGGAATAAAACCTATGTGTTATTTCACAAATCCCTCGCCACTGTGAGTCAAAACTAAAGTGAATCCAGCCTGTTCCTTTTGCATTTGAGTAAAAATTGGTCTAGTATAAGTTTTAAAAAAAAGTGGTGTAATGTTCGCTAAGAGAACCTACAAAACATTACAGAAAAAGCTACTAACACAAAAAAACTCAACTCAGTGAATTGTCGTGGCAAATAAAATGCTACTTGAATTGTGCCTTGCCCTCTGTGACCAACATCAGCCTACGAACTGCAAAGGGATCAAAAGTAAGTTGTACTTTTAGAGAAACATACATTGTAGTTATTCATTTAAAATCCTATAATAAAACTTTACAATATATATTAGGATGTGTGTCATAAATTTTGGTCATAAACCTTACAGCTTATAAAGGTGAGTAAACAGTATTTTGTAAATCAAAACATGTCAAACTGGTTTATATTTCCATATCACTGGTTAAGAGTGTAACTTCATCCAAACAGGTTGGACAGTGGTCGGGTTCGGAGAGGGCTGCTGGGGAGCTCCTCTCCTCTTCCCACCTCCCCAGTGTCCCTGAAGGAGGCGCTGTGGATGATCTGGGCTCGGTGGCGACCTCGATGCAGCCGGGCGTTCAGCCGGCTCAGAGAAGACTTCCTCTGCACCCCCCCTTTGGTCCTCCCAGTCACGGCTGCCTCCTCTGCTGCCTCAGCCGGTGGGTTCAGAAGGCGCAGTGGGTTCAGATTGCCCTGGAGGACTCTGGGAAACCGCCAGCCGCGCCCTCCACCACCACCGCTGTTAGTGCTCTCGCTATCTGACTCAGTTCCAGGTGAGAGGACCACTCCCTCCTCCTGCAGGTCAGCAGCTTGTGTTGGGTGCAGGTACTGGATGGCTCGCCTTCCGCTGTAGTCTCGAGCATCAGGGTCCGCCTCCCAGTCTGACAGCAATACACGAACCACCTGTCAATCACAGCACATTAAATACAAACAGGGAAAATACTGAAATCTTGTCACCTGTCATTTATGCAGAATTTACTGCTACCTTATTGGCTAAGATTTCTCTGTGAGTTACATCATATGAAACTGTGTCTTATCAATAATCCAGCATGTCAACATGAGGGTACGAGTGGTCTTTTCTGCTGCCATCCTGTTGTCTGTCTTGATCAGTCCACAGTTATTTACGTCCTTGCGTGTTTGTCCCCATTTGTTTCTTGTCTTTATTCTTGGAAAATTGTTAATGCTTAATTTACACTAGAGCCTGACATGGGAAGACTGATATGAAATCCGATATTGTGATATATGGGCCAATATTCTTTTGTTCTTATTTTCAGAAACACATAAGATAAACAAAAATTATCTCTAACATTTACTATGTGTAGTTATGAGACCTCACCAAGATAACATGAAACTTTTTTTCCTTTGTTATAAATAGGACTTTTAGTACAAGTACTTTAAGTACAGCTGATTATGTCAGCTGACTGCTGCCTTTTGTGGTGGATGTTGCTTATGTAACTTACACATAGGTCCAAAATGCATGTTTTCTTATGACCAGAGTACAGCCTGCACATTTTCCTGTTGAATTCCCATCTAAGGGAGTTTCTGTGGAGATGTTTCCATTGTTTTATGGAGCCCAAAGCATACAGTAGACACTGCACAAATGCATCTCAAAACATCCCATTCAAGGAGCAATTTCTTGACAATTTTTAAAAACATACTTTCACTGCACTGTGTGTTTTGGATTGATTTAATTAATAGTGAGTGAAAGCCCTCTCGGCAAGAAAAGGTTTTCTATACACAAAGTTATAACTATAAATGACAACACATCGTGATCTTTTCAACTCATTTTGTGCAAAGCAAACCAGCCAGTTGATACAAATTAAGTTAATTCTTTTTCCAGATCATTTATTTTGTCTTGAAGAGGAAAGTCCATTCTTTTAGTTGCAGCATTATCTGCTTCACTGAGCAGGTGTAACCCACACCTATAAACACACTCCACTACCACCACAGTCTATGCAACTCACCTGTGTGTGGCCGTGCATGGCTGCCAGGTGTAGCGGTGTGTATCCAGCACTTGATCTCACATTCACATTGACAGGAATAGTGTTTTCCTTGGCGAAGGCCAGCAGCTGGGAGAGCAGCTCAGCTTTGCCCTGCTTAGCCGCCCAGTGGAGGCAGGTGAAGCCGGTCACAAAGTCTTTCTTGGCCACTAGGCTGGGTTCCACAGTGAGCAGGGGTTGCAGACTTTCCCACAGGCCATCTGAGGTGCACAGCATCCACTCATGTTCCAGTGGGTCCAGGGTCACTGAGGTGCAGTCCTCATCAGTGGCTGAGGAGAGGAGCGATGTTGAATCTCCATCGCTCCTCACTGAGTCCCGGAGGCGTGAACCACGGTTGATCAGAGACCTCCGAACCTGCAATGGGAAGAACATAGGAATAAAAGACTTTACATCCATTTTTGTGTTACAACATTTAATATGGTAGCGTTTAGCTTTGTACCACTGGACAATGCTTTATGGTGATGTAGAGATGGCTTTTTATTAGTTCTTTGCCAATAAACTGCTTAAAGTGTTCTTCACAAGACCTCAACTGCACTGTAAATAACAGTTTCACAACACTTAACGCAAGAACCAAATGCAGACTTATTATTATTTGTGGAAACTAAACAAAAGTAAACCACACACCAGGGTACTGAGCGCCACTGTTCATCACAATAAAGTATCAAACTGATTTTACTTGTATAAAATATGTTTTTGACAGTAAACAAGTCAGTTATGAAATAGTCAGTTTAGCTGGTTGCTGCCTTATGATGATCACCAAAAGGGGGTCATCCTGCCTAGAGTTAAGGCTTGATTACATCACTGTCAAATCTCTCAGTTGCCTAACACAGAAAACTGTTGCTGTGGAGTCACACTTTATGAATATTGCATTTCACACTGCAAATGGTGTTTTACATCAGCTGTCAAAAGCTACGCTCTTGGCTGTGCTGCAAGTTACACAGAGGCAATGGCAGGGGAACCTGCTTAATTTCGTCTATGGACAACTGTGCGGCATTCAGGTTCTGAGCACACCCAAAGCAATTTGTGATTTTTTTTCAGGTTAAAGCCATTTTTGTAAACATACTTTCTCACATGCTTGGATTGTTACTTGTTTTAACTGCTTTGCCCTGTATAGAGCTTTATAAAGCTGCCTTACAAACAAAAATGATGACTTACAATAATAATAATAATAATAATAATAATAATAATAATGGAAGCTTTTTTCATGCCAGAGAAACAAAGTATCGTACCTGCGGAGAACTACTCATCATCAGCTCTATGAAGTTCCTGCGACTTCCCTTGGGTGTGTTGATATCTCCCACAGGGTCCAGCCCTTCCAAGGCGCTGTCTTCAGAAAGGCAGCTGATCAGCATGGCCCGCTGGGACCCTTTGGACACCCTGCGTGCTCCCCTCACCTGCTGGTTGTGGGACCCCGCAGGGTGAGCATGGTCCAGATCTGGTACCCCAATAACAGGGGCCGATTCCCGCCTCCTCCTCTCCCTCAGCCTCACCTCCCCTCCTCCAGCAGAGGTAGGAGTCGCCGTGTTGGTCTTATTATTCTGGGAGGGGGCTGCAGGTTGCTCATTACCATTTGACTGTTTATCATTGTCCAGACTGGCAGCCAGCGGACTGGATGCTCCTGTGGAACCATTGGACACATTTTTTGTTTTTTTTGTTATTATCATGCAGCTTTGACACTGCATGATGGAGTTGTCTATGGCATAATCTTAACCTCAGCTGACTACAAAGCAGCCTACCCATTGTAATCCATACAGGTATGCAGGAGGTTAGTCATGTTATACTTTGTGTGATTAGTACCATGAATTATTGTACACCTATTTAATTATTTTTGGCAAGAAAGATGTCAAACTTACAGCTACAGATTTGTGGATTTTGACAACTTCAGTCTAAGCCACTTTAGTAGGGATTGGCCTTCATACACAATGGGGAAAAGGGCCAATGCCAAACAATACTACTTAAGCTAATAAACACAAATAAGCTTAACGTTACTGATAGACAAATAAAAGCTATCTAACTTATGATAAAGACATATAGACATTTACACATGTGGAAAATTTAAGCAAATGCACCATGCACATAACAATGGCATAATTACATTAATTTAAATAAACACAGAGTGCATATGACTCACCTGCTTGGTCTCCGCTGTCACGGTTGCCGTTGACATAGCTGTTGTCCAGTGTTTCCTGGATATTAACGTTACCGTTGAACTCCGCGTGATCGTGGCCGTCTGTGTCCGCACGCATCACCGACTCTGCGCTGCCTTCAGTGTTTAAACAAACAAATTTCACGCCGTCTTCCACCTGCACGAAACCCACGTTGTCCACAACGCGTTTCAGCACCTCGCGATCCACCCCTTCTTTCGACTGGTCATTTCTCCCACAAACTGATAGGAAATGATCGAGCAGCTCCATCTGTTGGACCCTCCCTCCTCTCTCCATCAGGAACTCCTGCACGGCTTGCTCCGTGCACTGGGACGCCATCATCACCCCCGAAAGGCCCGCAACAGAGCCCAGAGACAAGTCAAATAAGTTGCACGAGAGCGTTTCAAAATGACTCCATGTTCACACGCTACTGTCATTCACTGAGGTCGGCGACAACAGATGACAGCATCCTCTTCCCTGGCCTCCTCCTCTCCTCCATGGGGAGTGTCGAGCTCTGGCAGATAGGGGTCGCAAGTCGCTGATGAAACCACCAAGCAAACGGCTCAGCGCTGCAGAAATCATGCAGCGTTCAAGTGCTACTCCTAAACTCGTGCTCCCAATAACTAGTAATATCGACCAGTCTGATTTTTGGACAATGCGATTTTATTTTAAGTGTCGACTGAGCCGTGATGGCGTGAGAAAGAAATATAAATATATTCCGGGCCTGTATTGCATGACTAACTGATTCAGATCTGCTTAAAACCATAGACTGTATAAAAAACCCTGTTAATATGGGAATCTTGTTGGTCAACACGTCACCAACATAGGCTGTATGATTCACACATGCAGGGCAAATGCGCCATGACAACTCAAATTTAGGCTATACGAAGCTAATTATGTTGGTTACATTATATTTAGCTTTGACAGAATGTCAAAATAATGATAATTAGCCTTGAAAAAGACGCTATCTCACATTAAAACTCACTAAGCAGGCCAAACATTATGATTATGATGACAAATTATGATAAAATATGGTCAAAATATATTTAGTTCCTTATAAATTCTCTATGATCAAAACTCGAATCGAGTAGCTGTTGCACTGAAATCGGCTTGACAAATTTTCTAACACAATTTTCATGCCATTGAAGTGACTGGGAAAAATTAAGTTGCGCTGTACCATTAAATGAAGAAGGGGGATGGGTGTGTTACTGCGTTAAATTAACATTGTTATACCATCCTGTCTTACAATTGCAGTGTATTTTATTCGTTAATAATGTTATATATTGTAATTCCCGCGACATTTTGCCCTAATTTGTAGAATTTTAATTTTAAAGCAAATGTCCAAACGATATACATCACCTAATTCCTACCTTGTGTTTAGTGGTCTAGACTGTCCAGTTGTCGACGGTGGACGCACGTAGTGAGGCGGTCCTGATAAGTGTTCAGAAAAAAAAGAAGTCGTAATTTTATCACTTTTGTTGTATATATTTTTGAATCTATCTAGGGTAACAGTTATTAACGTCTGGCTAAAACTATGGCTTCTTCGGATGTTTCTCGGCAGTCGGTTAGTATTTTCCTTCTTTGTGGAAATGTTCTTGGAAGTTGAGCAGGGAGTGTCCGGAGCTATCATTAAGTTAGCTACAGCTAGCCCGATAACTATAGTTAGTGCTCTCTGTCTTTGAAGTTATTGAAAATACGACATTTGAGACGTAACTTGCACAAAGTGTAGAGCACCAAAAAACATATTCCCTTCACGTCAACTGTATCCAGAACGTCAAACGGGGGTGTTGAAGTTGTATTTTAAACTTTTCAAAAGGGATTCCGTGTTACATCTTTCACCAAAATACACTACGGAGGGCGCTAGCTGGCTAACACTAGGCTAGCAGTCCAACAGGCAAAAGGTTATGGCAATAGTTGTGTCACACAACTTGTGCTACAGTTGCTAACGATGGTACAAAAGTGCCAAAGTTATAGGTTACGTTTTGCTGGTAAGATATGTAGATTACACTGCTTATTAAGCTCGATAAGAGCCACTAAATCGCTTCATTTTTTTGAATGTGTGTAAATGTGTAGTATTTTCTACATAGACAACGTAGTTTACTGTTATCAAAGGTTGGGCGTATATCATGAGGAATGTCCTCAACCTCAGCAAATTGTACCACACCATAACTAGAACTAGGTCCATGTTAGCCCTCTGTTTACCTGACTAGCCATACTCTTCCCTCAGGATTTCTGAATAGGAGTTAAGTCTGGGGCAGGTCAGAGGAGGACCACAGGAGAGCGCAGTCTGAGGAAAATTGATATAGACTGTATTTAAAGTGAGATTAGCTTTTTGTAGTTTTAACATTGAAATACTTTTCTATATGATATGTTACATGTCTGCCTCTTGTGTTGCGATATAGACTTACAGAGCATCTTTTTAGGTATTTTACATTAATTGCTAAGATCCACTTTAAAATGTAATCCTCTAACATTGCAAAACTGTTTATTGTGCATCCGTATAACAATTTTTTTTAACACCGGATGAATGTGTAGGGTTGTGGCTGACAACGGGGGATCATTTTTCTTATTTGAGGAGAAAATGCCTCCACTCTCTTGAGAATGATCTTTGCGATTTCTCCCTCAGGACAAAGGAATGCGGCCCCTGTCCTTGGCGGGCCATGTGGGCTTTGACAGCCTTCCAGATCAGCTCGTCAACAAGTCCATCTGCCAGGGCTTCTGCTTCAATATTCTCTGCATCGGTACGGATGTCATACACGCACACACACGCATACACAACCCACACACACATATTAAAACACATACACACAGGATGCTACTGTACACTACTGTACAGCTAAAGTAAATTAACTCATAGGGCGCTACATGCACACACGCACGTTGTTTTACTTGACTACCTCGATTCACTGCCAATGCCTTGGCCTGCTCCTTTCCTCCTTCTTCTTAGCTAGAATGCATGTTGATCCCAGTGGCAGTGCTAGATAATAAGAGTATTAGTCTGAGAATTAAGGGGTGGAGGTAGACAAGGGGTCAAAGCAGCAATGTGATGAATAGGATGCTGCTGGTTCAAAAGTCTCAACAAATGCTAAATATGTGGTAGGGTGAATGACTAATATTTCTTCTTCCTCAACAGCTGCCATCACTGTGTTCTTGAGGAAAGCACTGATCTTCCTCAACTGTGACGTTCAATAACTGAAAATTTTGTCCCATCTTTCTACTGCTCCAGGTGAAACTGGTATTGGCAAGTCTACCCTGATGGACACTCTGTTCAATACTAACTTTGAGAACTTCGAGTCGTCCCACTTTGAACCTCAGGTGAAGCTGCGGGCTCAAACCTATGACCTACAGGAGAGTAACGTCAGACTGCGTCTTACCGTGGTCAACACTGTGGGCTTTGGAGACCAAATGAACAAACAAGAAAGGTGGGAGGAGGAGAGTGTGTGGAGTGTGTTATGGATAGTGAAGGAGAGTGAGAGGCTCGAAGTGCTCAAAAGAGTCTGAGTGACGACAAGAGAGTCACTAATAATGAGTGTTAAGTTAAATGTCCTGTTTTCAACTTCCTGCTGTTGTGACCTCATCTTTGTTTACCATTAATGAAACCCACATTTCTGATCGTCCCTATCTGCCCTGTAGCTATCAGCCGGTGGTGGACTACATCGACAAGCAGTTCGAGAGTTATCTGCAGGAGGAGCTAAAAATCAAGCGCTCTCTTCACAACTACCATGACTCACGAGTCCATGCCTGCCTTTACTTCATCTCCCCCTCAGGTCATTCACTGAAATCCCTGGACCTGGTCACTATGAAGAAACTAGACAGCAAGGTAGGAGGGGGGTGTGTGTGTGCGCATGTGTGTGTGCGCGCAAGGCTCAGATACAACAAATATTGTATTCATTTCATAGTTGTCATTTACACTGTGGATACTGGGGACATGTCTCCATCACTTTTTTAAAAGATTTCTTAAATATGTTCTGAAAATGGCTTGCAAGAAGAAATGTTAAAAAAACAAATGAAAATGCTTTGAGAAAGATTTATTTGCACAATAAGAAAACATGCAATGCAATTTAGAGATAGAAGAAACAAATGTGGATTGTCCAAAAAAAGTGTCATCTGAATCACTTTATATAAATAAAGAAATTCTACCATAAGTTGGTGCAGAAAATGTTTCCAGAATGGAGGAAATTAAGTGTTTAGTGCTCAGTGTTTAGTACTTCTAGTGGAGGACCCCCAGACCACACATATTTATATTTCAGCATTGAATATTTCGTCAAATACTGTTAAAATGTCTTCTTGTCTTGTTCTCGTGAACCCAATATAGTAAATCGTGCATGTGAGCCAAGTGTATCGTCACACCCCTAATCCGAACCCTTATGTCTCCACCGCTTTTCAACACAAAGTGAAATCCTTGATTCATTTAATCTAATCAAAGAACAAACACACCCCCGAAAGCTATAGTGTGTTAAATATGAATGTATTATAATAAAATATTTTATCAAATTTACATAACTTGCATAACTTTAAGTTTTCTCGAGTTCAAAGCCAAAACATGTTTGACTTTGGAGAGTCCTAAAATGTGTTTGCTGTTTTTGGACTGACTTCTATCGACCTGGATATTTTAAAATAGACCTATCAGTTCTGTGGGTCTATACAGTATGTGAATTGTGTAGAAAATATGTCAATATGCGAAAAAGCTTATTTTTCATTTTTTAATTATTATTTTTTTGTCAGTAGGAACACAAATAGGACACTGCAGAAGCAGATGTAAACACTACATAGGAACTGATGTGAAACTGGTGGGCGCATGATAGTGGGAAGTACTGTATTAGAGAATATGCTGTGGGTGTTTTTATGTTATGTATGGTTCCCTATCCAACTGGCTAAACCCCTCCTTTCATTGTTGAAGTGGTCAGAAACTTTCCCATGCTCCCTTGTGTGTAGTGACTTTGTTTTCCTTTTGTGTTTGTGTGATTTCACTGCTCCGGAGTGTCCGTATCCCTGGATTTGCGTGTGAATGGAGTAGAAAAAGCAGTGGAATGTTGTAATCACCTCACGCGCGCACACGCTCGAATTGTCCTTTTGTGTCACTGTACAGACGCAGACAGAAAGAGCCATTTGTTAAATCTGCACCACTGACTTACTCAGACAGCTGTTAGAACAGGTCTCCTAGCATAGTATTTTCTCTGCTGAGATCAGTGTGTGTGTGTGTGTGTGTGGTCTGGCCCAGAGTCTAATGACGACAACTCATTCCAAGGCTCTCTGTCTTTGGTACGACAAGATGACGGACAGACAGGCAGGAAAGGAATGTGGGACGACTTGAGAGAGAGCTGCTGTGCCAGAAATAACATCAGTAAACCTGGTTTAGATAACGCTTATCTAAAAGCAGTTTTTAAAAGTATTAAAAACAAATACAGTTGGAATAGTTAACATATTTGGTGAATTGTACTGTTTGTCCTTTGCCAGAGTCAGATTAATGCACGCTTGTTTGCGTCTGCATTAGGGCTGAACGATTTTGGAAAATAATGTAATTGCGTTTTTTTTAAACCAATATTGATTTAATATGTGATTAATTTGTACAATTTGTAAAGTACAGCCTCCAAAGCTGCTAAGCAGTGCACTGGCTGTAACCAGGCTGTAACTCGGGACAGACTGGGCCTCTTTCGGACTTGTGCGGTTGGTTTGAAACGCCATTTCACAGATATTTCCTGAGCTGATTGGTGGCTGTGTGTAATGTGGCTTGCGATACCGATCACCACAATACGCTTACCTTACTACATGTGTCTTTCTGTTGTGTATTTTTTCTTTCTATTCCTGTCTGCCAAAGCGGCGGATGGCCTGACAATTTCACCCACCACCACGTTACCCACGGGTGCTAATTTCATTCCCTGTATGACACTAAAGTTTCTATAGTGTGGGCTTCTGTCAAGCTAAAGGCCATTGTACAACAACAAGTCAAGGTACAGCGTAACATGCAAAGTTGATGCTTCCTCTGCAGACTTGTTTACTCTTGTGTGTCATGTGACCAGAGCATAATTGCAGCCTTTGCGATTTAGAAAATTTTATCATATTACGATAATATCCCAAATGCAATTAATCGTTCAGCCCTAGTCGTTGCATGTAGTTAATGGTATGTTGATAAGTGAGATTGGCTTGTTTTAGCTCAGTTGCTAGATGTATATGTCATCAGGAGCAGCTCTACTCAAAGTTCAGGAAAGTTACAGTTACCAATTTTGTTACCAAGTATAATTGCCAACACACCACTGTGGCTAAAGGTAAAGTAGATTAGACCTGGGCCCTGTTTCAGAAAGCAGGCTTAACAAACTCTGATCTTATCCCTCAGCTCTGAGTAGACTTAGCCTGAGATGAGAGTTTTATATATTGTATATAATGAAAACTCACTTTTAAACTACATTTATTTGTTTCAGCTGTGTTTTCAGTGCAACTGTCCAGAATCATAGTGTTATAGGCTACCTAAAGCCCAGTTCACACTACACGATTTTAAGCCAGATATCTAGCATGCCAAATATCTGGAGGAGTCGGCCGACTCGACATCCACATCCAGCCAATGAGACCCGGCAGCTACCTTTTCACTTCAGGACACTTTTTACTCACCTCCAACTCTCTCTGTAGCACGGATGATCCCTGCTACTGTACCTGCGTATGCTAATCCATTCTTTCACAGATATTCTTTGTAGTTATAATTGCTAGCTTTATAATAAACAACAGCTGATTCGTTTGTAGGTTTGCGTCATTTCCCGTTTCACGACTTGAAGTCGTGTAGTCTGCACGAGCCTTAAAAAGGAACATAGATTTTATTCTGTGCTGAGGATAAATCTACGATGTCTGGAGAAACTTGTCTCTGTCCTTACATCGATGACAGATTGATCTTAAAAGTGGTCATGTTCAAGATCATGTTTGGGTAAAAAACTAATAGCCTATGTAACCGGGATTTCAGTGTTTAAAGACATAAATGCATTCCGATATGTGCTTTGATATCAACAGCGTGAATGAGGAAATGAAACGGTGTGTCAGACAGCCGCTTCAGACTCCGCAGGAGGGGGGAGGAGGTTAGGTTCACAGCGTCATTTGCAGGAGTTACTGATCTAGGGTTTATCTGATCTTGGTCTCTGAAACAAAAAACCAAGAGTTTCCCTCATCTTTCACTAATCCTGCTTTCTGAAACAGGGCCCTGATTTTTGACATTTTTTTGGTGTTGGTAAAATTGGTGACAATGCGTTATCATAACCAATAGAAATTCTCTATATTACGACATAAGACCTAAGTTGTAATGTAGTGAAATTTTCCTTTTAACTTGTGAGGAGGAAACCCAGTGGTCTCCTCGTGTTGCTGCTCTTGAACTATTTTAAAACCAGATTGAGTCTCTTAAAGCTACTACCTATAACATTTGAAATCTGATTATCTTTGTGCCCTTGTGAATTCTTAAGTGGAAGTAGACAAATGTCACAGGAGTCAGAGGTCTGATGGAAAAATAAGAGTATTTGAATATAATCACACATAATGTTCCTAAACATTTATCATTATGTCGTACTTCATTCTCATGCCCCCAGTTGTACTTTCAGAAGTTATTTGTTGTCAAATATATGCATATATTCTTTTCACAGATTGCATTAGTCTAATTTATCTCTGAAGACTGCAGATAATAGTGTTTATATTTAATAATGATTGCTGAGGAAGAAGAATCTGTTATTTTCTTGCTGTAGGTGAACATCATCCCAGTCATCGCCAAAGCTGACACCATCAGTAAGACCGAGCTGCACAAGTTCAAGATCAAAATCATGAGCGAGCTGGTGAGCAACGGCGTTCAGATCTACCAGTTCCCCCTGGATGATGAGACCGTTGCAAAGGTCAACACTACAATGAATGTAAGGAAACACACGCAAACTCTTACACCACACTGAACTAGAGTGCTTTCTTAAGGCCGGGTTATTCCAGAAGCTGCGGCTGCTTGACTGACTGTTCAACAAGCAGTTCTGATGAGGTATAGTTGTACCTTTACTCTTCTCACCAGGGTTAGGGTTCTTTATAGCCATGGCTGTAACCAGCTATGAGGTCACCGAGGTCCACACCTTCGTAATTATATGTAGGATGAAACCTATTAATAAAACAATTAGAATAGCAGCCATTGATAACATGATCAACTTAAATGAAGACAGACTTGAACTTGAAAAACTGTTCCCCGATCCCCGTGTCCAGACTTTGGGAAACACGTGAAGCACATGAAAACCTTGTGTGCCCAATAACTGAGAGCATCGCTTCACGTTTTGTGAATTTCCGGGTGTGTAAGATAGGGTGAAGCTTCTCCCCATTAAGACAGATGATGTGCGCATTTACGCACAAGCCACAGAAGCATAACTTGATATTTAAATCTCCAGACAAGCCGATTCATCAGAAAAGTTAATACATGTTCTGTGTTCTTCTACACATCCAAAATGTCAGGTTCATACAGTGAAACTGGAGTGAAGCAGCCGTCCTCCTGATCAATCCTGAGCTTCAGGATATATTTCAGAAGCTAAACATGGAATTCTGTTTCCTCTGGAGAGTTTCCTCTCTGTCCTGTCAATTTTATAACTAGTTTTGCTTAAATGTTCCACAATATTTGCTGAGTCATTACTGCATGCATAGAAACCGTACAGCTGACAATAAAGACATCACCTGGAAAGTTACAAAGACCAGTAGAGGTGGACTTAAACTGAAAAATTTGTTTGGTAGGGGGCAGGTGGATAATTTATGCATACATTAAGTGATCAGTGGGCTTTATAGCTTCTGTCTTTATTTTTTTCACGTCAGTTTGACTCTGTTTGTGTCAGTTTGACAGCCTGAATAAAACCTGCAACTGCGAAACTGTCTGCTTCTTTCTGAGATCGCTTTTTCCAAAAATGCATAGTGCATTTGAAGGTTTTATTCAGGCTGTCAAACTGATGAACAAACACATAAAACTGAAAAAAAGCCTTAGTTAACGATCACAGCGTAAAAGTGAGCCACCGTTTTACTTGACTATTGAGAAAAAGGACAACGATATTAGGTATTAACACTGTTCCTGTATAGCTGGGTAGGTCTCTATTCACTGTTAGAATCATTAAAAAGCAGAACAGTGGGGTTATGTAAGCGTTAAAGGAAATAAATCGTACTTCTCTTTTCAACCTCTCTGGGTAACAACAACAGCGTTTCTTGGTAAAATACAGCAAAAAAAGGCTAGAAAACGACTCTTTTTGTATTGGAGTCAATGGAGCGCAGCCATTAAAGTGTCAGACCTCAGAGTCCTATACTGCCCTGTGATTGGCCAGCTGCGTATTCTGGCTTAGCAAAGGGTCAATTTAAATAACATTTTTTGAAAGTGGTCCAGTGTTGATCAAGTGCGCTGTACGGTGAAATAGACAACGTAGTCCTTAAGGGCAATTGCATCCCGTCAAAGTACGTTCACTAAAGGGCTTGGTTTTGCCACTGACAGGCCCAGATTGGTATTACAAATGTCTTACAACATTGTGGAAAGGATCCCACTTTCAAAAAGAAACTGCAAGCCAAGATAATAACACTGCTGGATCCACAGTACTACTGAGCCTGTTTGAAGAGTTGAATCCTTTTTAGTTTACCCAGAAACGGTCGCTATAGCACTCTCGTCAAAGCCACCAGACTCCCTTGACAAAAATAGTAATTTTACCCTCTGTACTACGGCTGCCTTGATCAGTTAGTTTGTGTTATTGTGTGACTTTGGTGTTTTAAAAACACCAAAGTCACACAATAAAACCAAACAAACCAGTGGAGGCAGCAGGAAACCAGGGAGGTAAAATGTCTTGACGAGCGATATAGTGACTGTTTCCGGTTAAACAAAAGGATTAAACACTTCAAACAGGCTCAGTAGTACTGTGGATCCAGCTGTGTTATTATCTTGGCTTGCAGTTGCTGTTTAAACGTATAATCAACTAAAACTGTTTTTTGCAGGGTCATTTGCCGTTTGCTGTAGTAGGCAGCACAGAGGAAGTCAGCGTTGGCAATAAGTTGGTGAAGGCTCGTCAGTATCCATGGGGTGTAGTACAAGGTAAGATGATCATTGTTTGTTTTCCCACACTGCTGTGCTTGTATTGCCAAAGTCTTAACACATTGATTTAAATAAATGTCTAGTTCTCTCTTCCAGACCTGAACATTTTTTCTCTTCCATAATAATTAACAATCTTTGTTTGCAGCCAGCCACCCTACAGTAAAGAAAAATCAAAAGGAATTTACTATATTTAATATCAGCTTGGAGGCTAACCCTTTTATTTGTCTCATGTCTATTTTTGCGTGTGCCAGTGGAGAACGAGAATCACTGTGACTTTGTGAAGCTGAGGGAGATGCTGATCTGTGTAAACATGGAGGACCTGAGAGAGCAGACACACACTCGCCACTATGAGCTGTACAGACGCTGCAAACTGGAGGAAATGGGTTTCAAAGACACAGGCCCCGAGTGCAAACCCGTCAGGTGAGCTGCCAACTTCATGAATGAAATAAAAATTTGCGCAACCGACTGCTGACCTGTTTGTGTGTGTGTGTGTGTGCGCGCAGCTTGCAGCAGACTTACGAGGCCAAGCGGCAGGAGTTCCTGGTGGAGCTGCAGAAGAGAGAGGACGAGATGAGGCAGATGTTTGTGCAGAGGGTGAAGGAGAAGGAGTCTGAGCTGAAGGAGGCTGAGAGAGAGGTACGTAGACATGCAAATAGTTCATAAGCAGCAAATTGTGTGTGGTAGTCGCACACTAGGCCCACGTCATACCTAGCTGTGTGAGTTGCTGACTTAACAGCAGTTGAGTTTTATTTCTTTTTTTATTTCTTTAAGCAAAACTATAGTGGGTTGTATTGTTGTTGCTCTGGCCATCATTTGATGGGTTATGATAACCTTGAACTCACCAAAGAATTGCTGAGATCGTCTGATATCGCTTAAAATAGCCAAACTAATTAGGAATATAAAACAATGGCAAACAGTAAAAATACTGTCCCTTTGTAAACATCTGAAAACATTTTACTGACTTTATGGTGAAACTCTGACCCACCATACTAAACGGCTGTTTATAGATAGAAACTTTACTGTCCTTGTATACAATTATACAACGAATTGCTTACTACGACTATTAGCAGCTTGAACATGGTACCTGGCACCTATTTCTAGGAAAAACGCCTAAAATAACATACCCAAAATAAATCAGTAATATCTCCTCAACCATTAGACCTAGATGCATAATTCTGGTTTCCTTTGAAAGGTCAGAAACTAAGGAATATAAATCTATTGATAGATTAGATTAACATATTTATTTTACTATTACAGACTACATGGATATGAAATACAGAAAAAATATATTTTCATCCTCGCCTGGTTAACAAAAGCTTTATTTTTATGCAATAAACCATCAAAACCATCCTAAGGTAGATTATAATGCACGTGAATATCTTCTAATACACCTAGAATATAACTGTAACTGTAAATTTGATGAAAAGAAATTGATATACAACAGTTATTACACAATCTTTCAAAAATATACCAGGCGAATGTCCATATTTACTGTTTATATGTTCACATTTATTGGTGTTATCTTCAAAACATTATTTCTCTCCATACAACCACGTTCCAAATAACATAAAGCTTCCAAAACATTGAAATATTGATAAAAACAGTCAATATAAATGACCAAAAGCACTCCCATGCCTTACAGGCCCACAGCTTGAGAACAGAACATCCTCCGCCAAATTACACTCTTCTTCTGCACTTATATCTCGTGACACAAACAAAACTTAAGACCGCAGCCGACCTCACCAAGATGGCGGCCCGCCAGACGATCTCTGTTGACACAAAGCGCCGCAATTTTTGGATGGAAAACAGCTAGAACAGCGAACATCGATTACGTAATACATACATAATGGGTCAGTCCGTTCCCGTAGCGTTAAAAGAGCAGAAATAAATAAGCAATAAAAGGATAGCATAAAAGAATAACATGAAGCAGTACACCAGACATTATGTTACTGTTTTTCTCCTTGGAAGTTGTCATTCGATAATGTTCTCATTACTTTTTTAAACAAACAATTGAGATTTCAACATCCTCTTCCCCTTTTCTGTTTTGTTTTGTACTCCTATGAATCTTGAGGGTACCAAATATCATGATGTTTGATCTTCTGCTGTATAGAATCAAAGTAAAATCTCCCAGAGAAAGTCAACATTTATTAAATTTCACATCTAATTTGCTGTTAGTGTAAGTCATTTTAATTTGTCACACAGAAAGTCTGATCTCTTAGGGTTTTGATGCTTGCAAAAATGGAGGCATCCCCAGCGGCAACTCAGTTCTGTGTGTGTGTGTGTCTTTCAGCTACAAAGTCGTTTTGAGCAGCTGAAGCGCCTCCACGCAGATGAGAAAGCAGCTCTTGAGGAGAAGAAGAGACACCTGGAGGAAGACCAGAGCTCCTTCAGCAAGAGACGAGCTGCCGCCCAGCTCCTGCAGGCCCAGAGCCTCACCGCCAACGGCAAGAAGGACAAGGACCGCAAGAAGTAAGAGGCTCCTCTGAAAGCTAAAGCTGATAGAAAATATTCAGGATCCATAGATTTATACATCTACAGATAGTGAGGGGGAAATGAAACCTTTTGAGTCATTAGTGAGTCGCTGCTGATATTGGGTTCAGAACTGTTTTATATGATAAAGGACATGTTATCACCTGCTGGTAAAATGCATGAATGGCATTTAAGATTTGTGTGCATGAGTGCACTGACTGACATGTGGTGCATATTGTGCTGATGGCAGGATTTTGCACTCCTGCACTGTTCAACACTCATTAAAGTCTTTGCAAAAGTTTAAATTGTAATGAAATATTGAATGTGAATATTTTGTAACACAAAGACGGAAGAACAAATTTAATGTGTAAGACTAATGCAAAAAATGGGGACATTTAATTTGCTTGCTGACAAACTAGGCAACAGAGGCAGTGTAGTAAACTCAGTATTTTATAAAACTGATTCTCAACTCTTCTTTCTTCCAGTTCTGGCTTCATGTGAAGACATTGGGATTTCAAGAACACTCCAGTATGACAGGTATAACCAGTGACATTCTGCCCACATCCTTTTCAGCCCTTTTGTGGCCAGTCTCAAACACTAACCAGGACAACCCCACACAAACCAGCAGTGTGTGCGAGTGTGAGTTTGCTTTTGTGCCAAAGTTTAATGACTGTACCCATGAATCCTGTGTACACTTTCCTCGGTGGTATTTTTAAAATTCTTTGTGGCGTTTATACCTCTTTGTAATATTTTATATTTATCTTATGATTTTTATATAATTTCATTGTTATTTTCTATGTACGTGCCTCTTCTTTTCTTTTTTTATACTTCTGCCCAGACTAGGGACCCCTCAGTGTATTGATCCTCACACAGCCACACAGCCTCCTCAGTAGATGCTGTAGGTTTATTTAAGGACTTGGATTAGGTACAAACAATGCATTGAAAGGGACTTCCTCACTTAACATTTAATCTGCCATATCGTTGGTGTATAATAAGAGAACTCTTCATGTTTAGTAATGCGGTATGATGGCTTCGATAATGAGACAGTCAAACATCTGTAACATGCTTGTAATTTATTATAAAGCCTTTTTTAGACATGCACTTCATGAGAAGATTTACATTTTGTCGAAACGAATGCCCGAGTCTCTTTTTCATAAATGTTGCAGCAGCTGTCCATCAATGTCAGGCGAAACACTTCCATTGGAACTGAATGAGAAATGTTAAATCTACAGTAAGGTGCTTATCTAAATTGGAAAAAAAATCAGTTTAATGACCACAGCAGTAATCAAACCACCAGTTTCTCTAAACATTCAGCTTGCATTCATGCCAACCTCTTACAGTATGAATATCCAGCTAAATGCTTTAAATACAGCATGTCAGAACCTAACAGCTAGTTATACTACATTTTTGGCATTGGCAGATGGTGTAAAATAAGCAGCAGAGTGTTATGTTCAAAACATAATTGATGACATAGACAAATGTATCAGGAAATCTACAGAGTTGGTTGGACTGGTGGTGAGCGGGTCATAAATAATGTTTAAATAGAGATGCTACAGAATATTTACTCCACGGAGACCTGTGTATGTTTTGACTGCCAAACAGGCCATAAATGTGACAGATTTGTAGCTAAATGTTAGAGAATCCATGTCTGAAAAGGGCTTCACTGATCATTTCTGGAGACAGATGTAGTGCATTCATCATAAGGAGTTGTCAGAAGCGTGGTCACAGGGCATTATATTTCCTTATCCTTTTTATGTATTTTCTTTCTCCTCCCTGATGCTTTAAACTTTTATTATGAGCACACCAGCTTTTCAAGGAGCCACACAGATTCTCCTGTTGCTGTTGTTCCAAAGGGAAATCAATTTATTTCTGAACTTAAGCTTCTCTTGTCAGTTTTCTAGGAGGGTGAGGCTGAGGCTCACCTTTGGATAAGGTACATGTTACAGCATATATATTGTCTTTTACTTGCTCCCTTATTTGTTCCTTCTGGCACAGTTTGCAATGCAGTCTGTCTCAAAAGAGCTGCTCGTGGGGAAAATGAATTCTGTCAAGTCTGTGTTTAAGAGGGGCCTGGGATGAGAGGGAGGATGTATTTTTGACCGTTTAAAAAAAAAAAAATCCTTTCTTTATTCACTTCTGTCTGGAGTCATGATGAGACAGGGGTTCACACTTCAAAGCATTTTACAGCACAGATGCTGGTTTCTAGTAAAGTGTGATTTTTATAAACCAACATTTACTCACAAACACTGCCACTTTATATTTACACTAGTGCTTACAAAGTGTTCGTGCCTTATCTGCGTAAAGCTATACACTATCCACTTAACTTGTACATCCAGGGAAACACACTAATGGAGAAAAGCTTGTCTAGGAAACATTTGTAATACACTTGTATTTCAGGAATAAACAGTGTTATTTGGGAGCTTTTTTTTTTCCTTCTTTCTAAATAAATCTTTGTATTTTTGTTATGACACTCTGCTTGTTTTTTTTTAATCTCACAATATGGCGACAGTAAATTCCACTTTTACTTTACTTTTTCTGTGTTGAAAAAAAAAATAAAAAAGCAACTCATGTTCCAGTTTGTTTTTTGTTTTAAATGCAGGTTCATCACAATGACCATAATTTTGACATCGGTCCTGAAACTACATTTTAATACTGCTGAGGTGACCGATAGATCAAGCACCCCTACTGGGAAATTACATTTTGATACAGCTTATCTACATTTTGATATACATAAGTACTACAAGTACAAGTAGCTCCCAGTTGTAGGTAGTTAGGTAGATTTATTTTGTCACAATAACAGGTTATAGAGTGAATTTGCCTACATAGCAGACAATATACATTTATACAGAAGCAACTATAAAAATGGTAAACAGAAATAAACTATATTCAATGGAGCAGAGCTGAGGATGAATTTGTCCAATAGCTTGGGGGAAAAAGCTGCTCTTCAGTCTGGTGTGGCAGCAGAAACTTCTACATCTTTTCCCAGAAGGCAGCAGGGTGAACAGACTGTGGCTGGGTGGGTACTGTCCTTTGGACTCTGCGGAGGCACCTCACCGATATCACTGATGCTCAGGAGATGGGTACCATTGATCTTCTGAGCTGTTTTAATCACCTGCAGCAGAGCCCTCCGGTCCTGGGCCGTGCACATCCCATGCCAGTTTGTGATGTTTCCAGTCAGGATGCTTTCTAATGCTCCTGTGTAAAAACTGACAAGAACTTGGCACAGGAATTTGGCTTATGCTTCCTCAAGAATATGGTTGTTTCTGAGCTTTCTTCACCAGCGTGGAGATGTGAGATGACCATGTCAAGTTCTTTGTGATGCTAATCCCAAGAAACCTGAAACTGTACTTAAGTGCAGTACTTGAGTAAATGAACTTACATTCAACCAATTTTCAATGTCTTTTCCACCAAACTTTAATATGCAGTGATTTTTTCTCTGCACAGCTCAGTAACACACATTAACACAATCACAAAAAAATACACTGTTTGCAAAACATTTAACATAAGTGCAGATTTTACACGAGTTGTCTGCTGACAATATTCTCAAGAGAAAAACAATTTGGGCTCTATAATCAGAATGAGGTCATATGTAAAAGGAAAGAGTAGGAAAAGAAACTGATGTAGGGATGTGCACATGTAAGGTGGGAAAATCTATAAAGGGACAACAGTTCTGTCATTTGTTCCACATTTGTGTCTTGTTGGACGTGAGGATGCATCAGACTGCAGTGCATTGCTTCAGGATTTGTTCTATTAAAGATGTATGAGATCTCATATCCTCAATGAAAGATTGTTCTGCAGGCTGTTGAAAAATGCCAAAACTCTTAAGATATGGAGCATGTTGCGTTTATCACTGTTAAATGACTGTAGGTAATAATGTGGGGGGCTGTGTTGGAAAGAGAAGGTTGTTATGGGTTGAGACCCACAGACCTCCTGACTTAATCCTTCTCCACCCCTGTAATACATTATAAAAGAAATACCTACTATAATGAAATTTCTTCCCCTTTTATCAGAAGTTAAGAGCATAGAGGGTGATCACAAGCTTCCCTTTTGCTTTAGAGGAAGATTCAGGAGACATCAGAAGCTTAACATCTTCCCACTAATATTTGACACAAAGACAATGGGACTGCGCTGTATCACCTGGTAGAGGTCTTTCTCCCTGCAGAAACCCTCCGGCTGTGTTGCCCTTCATGTGACTCAGAGCTGGCACACAGACAGGTAGACAGAGAGGTCTGGTGTAAAGCAGAAAAAAGCTGATCGATTCCCTGCAGGAGCCTGCAGCACGTTGTGTGTGTATATATATATATATATATATATATATATATATATATGTGTGTGTGTGTGTGTGTGTGTATCTTTGGGTGGGAAGTGATTTCTCCCAGTTTTCCTGCCAGATGTGAACACTATCTCTGCACTGCAGAAATCTGAAGAATCAAAATGTTGATGCCTTCCTCCTGCTGGCCTTAAGCCTTGAGTTTGTGTGTTAGTGTCAAGTTTTTCCTGTGTGCGCTTACATGCAAGATTGCTGTCTCTCTCACACGCACGCACCCTTGTCACCTTTTGCTAGTCACTCTAAATGCAAATAGAGGTGATCATTGGAGACAGGCCCGGCTGCTGGAGAGATGAGGTTGTCATTTAAGGGGAGTGCCGGCGACGCTCTGAAATTACCAATTACACACCTCATCCATGCCAGTGTTGGCTTGAGAGCACAAGAGAACAGAGGGAGAGAAAGAGGTGTAGAGGTGAGGGAGGACAGGAGAAGATGGAGGGAGAGAGGAAAAGGCAGGAGAGGAGAGTGTCAGCTTTACTTCTAAACATCCTTTACCAACATGTCTGTATCACTAACGATGGCTGTCAGACAGCTGTACCTGGAGTGTTGCTCATAAGACTTCATAAGCTCATAATGAGCACATTGTGAGTGCAGATAATACTAATTGGAACAGGATATAATATGATTCTCAGGATGAGTTCTCCGAAGGGCAGCTGTAAAATCCTAATGGGCTATACAGGTAATGCGTTTGTTATGCATCAGAGTACATAAGTGTGTACTGTTTCCTATTATGTTCTGTGTTATCTCCATTATAAAGCTGCAGGCAGATGCATCAACAACCCAAAAAACCACACTGAAAATCCGTTTTAAAACAAAGGCATTTATTGCGAAAAATGCACTTGACATGAAAAAACAATCAAATCAGCCACGGGTCATCAGTACAAGACGATGTATAATGATCACATGGTAGAGAGCGCTGGGCATGGCCAGCGCAGAGCATGACTTCAATGGCACAAAGGGCCTATAAATATTCTGCACAATATAGAATTATATATATACTTTATTTTTTTCTTCTTCCTGTTCCCCTTGCTGTACCGCTGCATTGAGCCCGACTCAGTCCTGATGAGGCATGAGTGTTCACGCAGCACCAAACCTTTTCAAAAAGTTCCTTTTTTATGGAAAGAGCTACATAGAGGCCCCCCCCCCCCAACACACACACACACACACTCAAACACACAAGTATCCATAGGAACAAATATGGCCAACATCTAATTCAAGATGGCAGGGCGAGGGCTCAGGCTTCCTGGAAGAACAAAACAAGGGAGTGGACAATGATTTGATTTCAAGTTTAATGAAAAATTGGATAGTGCGTTTTATGTTGTGTTCATGTCCAATGGGAATTACCACAGCTGCTGATGACTTGTTCACATTTTCCAAGCTGTCACCTCAAGTTCCCAGGTGGAATTTATAACCCGTAAGCTGAGGTGAAAAAAGACAAGCCTGCCTGTTGTAAAAAACAAACAAACAAAAAAAAACCCAAGCGGCATTAAAAGCGTTTGTGAAACCAGGATATTCAAGATATTTTATGTAAAGTGACCACTGTGCAGTGGTTTTTACTCCTGACGCTTTGACTGTTGTAAACTCTTCTCCTCCTAACAACATCAAGCTCATGAGAAATAATAAGAAAAAATAATGGCATCTGTTGATCTTCAGACACAACTGAGGACTTGTGCTTTTGTAGAGTCCTCCGTACAGCGGCGTAATAAACACAATAAGGGAGTTGTCGCTCAAGGGATTGTGCAGGGCTGTTCGGGATCTGCTGGTTTTTGTCAACTGAATCAAACAGAACAGAAAAACAAACAGCAGGCTCATCGTACCAATAAGAAGGTAAGGAAGAGACAAAGACTGATTTATGCCTGATGGAAATACTTGGTGTGTGTGTGTGTGTGTGTGTGTGATGGCATTTGTAGGCACCAGGGATTGACTGACAGGATTTGAAGGCCAGTGCAGATATTTTTGGATTGAAGCTTCCAATAACTAATATCACCTGCCTAAATTAATGACGCAGCCTTTTCATGGAAAATAAACTGGCAGTTTTACTTGGCTAAACTAAAACACATTAAATTAAAAGCTGCACAAATATCATGGTCTAGTACAATTTAAATAGGACTGAATAACAAAGTTAAACACAAAATATGTAAAGAATCACACCAACAGATTCATGATTCCAACTGAAAAGTGATATATGTCTAGTCTAATGTGTGTGAGTATGTGACTTATAGTCTCCAGTTGAGCTGTGACATGCTGGGGGAAAAAAAAAGAAGGAAATCTTTATCTAAATTGCAGACCGTTTTTGGTTTCACAGGATTACCCATACTGCACTGCCAACAGCCAGAGGATGATTGCAGACCATGCTGAATCTCTGAAATAATGTTCACTTTTATTCACAGTTTAAGGGATTTGGGTCGAGTTCTTCTCCCCCACAATCTAAAGGTGAGGGAGAGAAAAAGAAAGCACTTCACAAATATAAATTGCTTGTGCTTTGGTCTGCTCAATGACAAGTCACCGCTACTTCAACGTCAAGGTGAATGTGAAAAATGTTTTTAAAACAAAACAACTTTAGTATTAATCTGGGGTGAAGCGGGGAGTTTGAGAAAACAGCTATTTAGAGTCTGATTCTTTGTAACAAATCTGTCTTGTGCTTGTTTTCTGTCCGTAGAGAGCTTGTTGCAAAGTCTCACATCTGGCTGTTTATTCTGCAGTCACATTGCATGGGAATAAGAAATGACAAACGTTTTTAAACTGATGCTGCAGCGTTTTGTTGACTCTGGGAAGCTACTGCAATGCAAAACAACAACCACAACAAAAAACCTCAAGATGTTTTTTGAAATTTTTTGATTTACTGCAGATTTTTTTCTGAAGAAATATTTTCTATATAGAGTTTTGTGTTTATTAACTTTCCCATAAGACATGAATGCAGTTCACCAAGGAGGCTTGCCTGTGGCTAACCTGTGACTCTCAGCTGGTGACAACCCAATTAAACATTTGTGTGCCCAGCCAATGAGTGAGCCTCCCCTGTGTTGCACATGGACAGTAGTTGTTTGTGCTTCATTCTGGCCCAAAACAGCAGGTGTGGAAGACCATTCATGCCCTTTGACTTGTTCTTTCAGTGATGCATGGCATATTAAAATCCTGCTGACCTCTCACTCTCTGACACACGCACACACACAGACACACACGTTATATTGACTTACATTCATTTCCTGGAGACTAACCCTAACCCCTATTTGCCTAACCCTAACCTTGACCACTAGCCGGGAAATCAGCCTTTTCCCAATTGGACAAGCTGCCCCTATCAACTGGTCTTTAGTCTGAAATGTGTCCCCGGAGGTAGCATAAGTCAGACCCAGATACACACTCACACACACAGACACAGTGAGCGAGTCGAGCTCTGAGTTTTGCTGTGCTTCTTTCTCCAGAAACAAGGGGAAAAAGGTAGATGGTTGTGGCTGGATGTAAACTACACAAGCCTGGATCCACACTCAGGACGCAGAGATTCACGAAGCAGACTGACTTTGCACTTACTGAAGCCGTACAAAAATACTCGTTAAAGAGCAGAGGAGAAGCGGTTGTCAAAGGTTGGCAGTTGTGTGATGAAAAACTTGTGTCCCTGCCTTCTGACTTCAGGTGCTTTCCCCCCTTCTCGGCTGTACATTCTTCCCCGAGCATCAGATCTGCACGCTTTTGGTTTCACGATATTGCTGCAGTCAGACAAAAAACTCAACAGTATCTCAAAAAAAGGCTGAGGAAGAGGAATTACTGTTAGCAATCTTTGTGACAGAATGAAAAATAAGATGTTGTTATTATTTTGTCTACCAAAGAAGTTTGTGCCTTCTTAAAGAAGAAAAAACATTTGCTCTTAAAACAGAAGGCTGTGACAAGCAGCAAGGGAAATCCCTTTTGTCAAATAAATAATAAAGGAGTGTAAAATACTGTAAATGTAGATATAGTGGCAGGTTGTATCAAATATTACCAACTGCATTCTTTGTCTCTATAATCCCACACAGAAGATCAAAAAACGACGTAACTTTAAGTTATTTCCTACATTCAGCAAGCTGGTTTAATCAGATCAGACAGGCTGTGGAGGGTCTATGAAGGACTTGTTTAAATAAAAAATGTCTTTTTTAATTTATTAAGATATATAAATAGAAAAATGAATCGCCTAATTAATTTTGCTTTTTGTACCTTTTGTTTTTAAATAAAAACTCCTGTGACAGATCATCACAGCATGACTTGTTTGGGACAACACAAACATCTATTTCAACATATTTTAAAAATAAAACGTAATAATGCTACATGCATTGTTATTAACATATTGGGTCGATAAAAAACACATGTGCTTGTTGTCACAAACTAGACACGGAGATGTGCTTACAGTGATCCCTGTGTGTCGGCTCACACACTTCCCTCATCGCCTGGCGACAGATCTTCACTTTTCAAACAATGAAAGCACCCGAATTCAAGTTCTGAGGTCTCAGTGGAAAGCAGAGCTAATGCTTCTTGTGCTAGTGTTTGCTGGTGGATGATGTGAAGGAGGAGAACTGGGAGGCAGGGTTTGTCTTTCTGTGCTCTTTGAGTCTGTGTGCCTTCAGTAGTCAACATCACGTGCGCGGACAACGAGTCTCATGAAGCCCCTCTGGCCCAGCGCTGTCCCCGGGCGAAGGATGGGAAAAGCTGCCCTGCTTCCTGTGTGGCTGGTCGAAGGCGGGGCTGGCTTTCCTGTTCGTATGTGTGCGAATTAGTTGGACCGATATGGGTTTCAGTAGATTTTAATTTAAATGTTTTCATACCTAATATTCCAGTGTTTGTTGACAGATTTTTCTGGGGAAAAATTAATTATTTTTTCATCATGTGAAACTAAAAATCTCCATTGAAATATTACTTGTTAGGGAAAGCAGCTTATTAAAGCAACATTTTTGCAGGTCGGTGTCTGTCTTCATCCAAAAGTGTAATTCTGTGATACCCATGTCGGTCTACCCTTTGTGTATGTTTGTGGTTGTGAAGCTTGTGTGTGTGTGTTTGGTGACTCAGAAACAGGAACAGTGTGAGTTCTCTTGTCCACTTTTGCAGTTCAGAAGCTCTCGACGAAGCTGCTGGGAAACAGGCCTGTCTGCCCCGTCCTCTGCAGGGTGCCTTTGTACCAGCCGTCTTCCCTCTTCTTATGGACGAACACCACGTCCCCCTCCCGCAGCTCGATCTCCGCCTCGCTCTGGGGCGGGTAGGGCACCACCACACGATACCTGTCACACACAGAGGCAGTTATAACACACACACACGCCGCTGTGGGCAACATGCTGGGTCGGCCCACCTGAAAGAACTTCATCAGTGCAGGTGTCAGTGGAGAGGTTTTTTTATTTTTATTCTTTTATCACTTCTGAGATGTTATTCTTGGTAAACTGTGAATTACAGGTAGGGAAATATCTACTCTGGGAATCTAAGGGACCCATTTATGTTGTGGTGGCAGCCCAGCTGATGGTGAGTGTCCTGTTTATTTCTCCTTTTTTGCTTGTGATTCTGTTTTCCCCTGATGTTCTGTTTATCCTGTTCTCTGCCTGCCTCCCTGTGTCTCCTCCCCTGCGTGTGCTCTCCCTCCCTCTCTCCCTCCGCTCCTGAGCCCGGCCAACGACCCGCACCTGCACCTCGTCAGCCATCTCCTCTGCCTGCCACACCTGCCAGCAATCAGCCGCATCTCTGACAGTACTTCTACCCCGGTTCTCCAGTCACCCCTGCTTGATCGTCGTTGCTGCTTACCCGGTGCCAATTTGCCACTCAAGCGCTTGAGTACTCTGCGCCATTTCTGTTTCCCTGTGCTTTGTTCCCTCTGCGTCTAACCCTGTCTATCTGTCTCCCCTCCAAGTCCACGCACCTCCATCCTCCGTTCCGTCAGCTGGGCTCGCCACCCTGCCCTCTCCCATCGGACCTCTCCCACGGCGTCGTCCCGGCTCCTCTCCTAGCTTCCTCGGCCCTCAGTGCCCCCAGCTCCCTTGTCTCAGTCACCTCGGTTCCCCTTGCCCGTGTTTCCCCGGCGTCCGCCTCTCCCTCACCTCCACTCCCCCAAACCCTTTTCCCCTTGAATAAAGCCTGTTCTGCCTGAGTGTTGCATTTCAGTCCACTCTGTCCCCACACCACAGCAGATTAAAGGATTCTTGGAATCATCTGTATATTTTGTGGTGACATGTTCCCTCAACCTGCCTGGCTTACCTCATTAAGTAATTTCTTGCATTTCCCTGAATGCCTTTTGACAACCCCCTGAGGCATTTGATGTTTGTAATAGCAGGTTATTTATAAAAACAGCTGTGTAGCATGTGTATTATTGTGGCGTTCACCGACCTACTGCAGATACCTCCACTATACAGACTCCTGGTGTCTTTTACTAAATTATCTTCTACCTGTGTGATTAAATGTTGGTGCAGAATGGCAGCTGTAGCCCTTGATCTTTAATTCATTTCTGTCATCTGTCAACAAAATGTTCACTGTTTGAGTTCACTGAAAACTAGTTTCAGACTGTGTGACAGCTACTCGCTCAGTTATTTTCCCTTGAACAGTCACTCCTGCAACACATATTTGAAGAAATCCGAATGTGACTGCTTCCACTTGGCTTTGCATGAAAAGCTGCTTTGTGAAGCATGACAATACCAATGTGTTTTTTGGCCTAAACACAGCTGTGTTATTCATGTATCTGGAATTATTCAAAGCCAGTAAGCGTATATCATCTGTTATTATACCCACTGTGACTGCGTTTTGGTGTAAGGGCTGTCCCACGGGTTTGACATTTACCAAAATATTGGTAAGACAAGATTTCTACCCTCCCTGATTCTCTCTCTCTCTCTCTCACACACAAACATTGCTGCCAATAGGATACACCACTTAATGCTTCATGTCTCCTCCAGTCTCTAAGTGTGTTCCTGATTTAACCAGTCTTCTCTGGGGGGCATGAAGTGTGTGTGTTTGTATGAGAGCAGAAGGGTCTGCTGGTTTGTGTATGGTTGTATCAGTCTGGGATGAAAAGATGATCTATTGATCATTCACAGCAGCATTAAGTGTTGCTGGACAGCACTAAGGGTGGGTATAGATTTTAAAGCCCCAGACGATGTGCCAGCAACAAGGACATGGATGGTGCCTTATAGGCTTCCAAGTGAAAATCACCCTGATTAAGTTTATAAGCTTTGTGAGCGGAAGTTACATACTTTGTTTCCATTTATCCTGTGGTTTTAATGTTATTGAGTTTGATAATTATTTTTTTCTTCACAGTGAATCCTAGAGCTTGAGTTAGTTAGACATGACAGTAGATCAAGAATTATGTGTTAATTGTATGTTTTTTAAAAATCATTGTTCTTCTAAACAAAAAAACCCAAATTCCACCACTTTGTCTGAATAATCAAATATTTCTAAATGTCAAAATTTCTGTCTGTGTGGACGTGTGCGCGTGCCCACCTCTCTCTGGACAGGGGCTTGGGTTCAGGCCGAAGGACCATCAAAGCGTTGCCGGCACGTGGTGCCGGGGGAGACTTGGGGAAGTTTGTGTCCAGCGAACCAGACTTCCTGTGCAGAGGCTCCATCCCCATGGCCCCCGCCATATCACTCTCGATTGGACAGGAGCCGGCTCGGCCCTGTGAGGCCATCGGACAGGAACCTGAGCGGGCGTGGTGGTGATGGTGGTGGGGATGGTGGGCAGGGTCGGCCAATGAGGGGTCGTGGGTGGGCGGGGAGGAGGGAGGTGAGCGAGGTTTCTTCTTGGCTGCCGCCCCCGACAAGAGCTTTAATAAGCCTCCTGCTTTCCTCTCCTTCTAAGGACGGAGAGAGTGAGGGAAGAGGACAAGAGACAAGGAGGAACAAGACGACAAAAAACAGAGATGCTGGTGAGAAACACAGGAATATAGGTTTCATAAGGCCTATTTTGAAAAGTGACAAGATGGTAATGACAGTGTTGTCTGTGCAAACCTATATTTAGAATATTTGTTTCCCACAGGGCACAATTACCCTCCCTCCACAATAATCACAAAACACATTTATGAAACAAATATGACACATAGAATAAAAGTGGTAATAAAAGCACATTTGTTTCAGGGCAGACAGCAAAGGTGAGCTCTTTTCCTCTCAATATTCATATGGACAAAGTCTCTGGAATTCCTCGCCTACCTGAGGACAGAGACATTACATTTTTTATGATGCTGTATGTGTTGGATACTGAGGACAGATGTCTTCTACATATTTTGAAATGATCTATTTTGTCCCACATATATGAATAGTTGAACATTTTATACCCAGATTTGCTTTCGCTGTTTGTGTACGCATTAAACAAAGACGTGTTCATTTGTGAGCCTGGTTAGCTGTTTCCCCCTTTCTTCCAGTTTTTACATGCTCTGTAAATGCACAGACATGAGTGTGCTATCATCACAGTGTTTGTTACTAACATTGCCAGATTTGTGAATTCCACCCAAAAGGTTTTAAGTTTGTGTCTTTTAGATTTAAAAATTGAGAATATTCACAGTATGAACGCCTGCTCTGTCGCTTTTCCTTTTTTTAAAGCAGACAGGCAGCTAAACAAAAGGGTTAGCTAATGATCCTTCAAGCTGAATACAGGTACATCTACTGTGCTGGTCTTAGGAATAAACTATATTGATTATAGAGAGAGTGTTTCTCTAATGGAACAAAGTCAGAGTCATGTTTTTCCATTTATGTTTGATTATAGAAAGGCTGTACAATACTGTTCATTCAGTCAAACTCACCAGGAGGACAAAACCACTTTTGTGTCTTTTGCTGCTTGGCATGATTTTAAATTCTCAGCTATGACATTGTGGATCAATACTGAGCATGCCTGAGCATAATTACATCTTTTTTTGTGGATGCATGAAGCCTCCATATCAGCTCTGTCTCAGCCATCTGTTTCCTTAATACATGGGCTGCTGGATCAAGCATCAGGTTTTTTTTTTTTTAACATTCATTATCCATCAAACACTGTCTTTGCATCGCTGTGATGGACTGTTGTCTTCCAAACATGAAAGCAAAAAAACCCAACATGGAAATCTCAGAATACACACTGCCTTGTGATTTTATATTTAAGTCAGGATAAAAGAGAGTCATGACAGCAGCAAAGAGAGGAAGATGCTTCTAAAACGCAATCTGTAGCTCAGTGACATCCAAACTACGGCAAACATGACAAACATGATCAATATTTCTCAGCATCTGCCACCACACCATATGCAGACTTTTTAGTGTTTTACCACACTCCATCACACAGCCAAGCGAGTATGAAGACAATATAGTGAAAAAACACATTTCAACTTCAGTGAAGCGTCAAGCACAAAGGGTGAGCACCTTGTCAATGCTTTGAAAAGTGTGGTGATATGTGTGAATGTTCTCTGTGCAACTTGCATAACTAAATGATAAACCACAGTCCATGAGCAGCAACAGAAAACTTTAATGACTTAGTTTTGCAACACAATCATTGGGATCTTCTCACTGCCTCTTAACACGTAGCGAGCAGGCAAAGCAAAAGCTGGCTGCTCATAAGTGCAAACCTTGTGACCTCGGAAGAAACCTCTCTGCAGTCTTAGTTGATCATTCATTATTGGTTAAGGACTTCTCTCTGTGCTGTCTTCATATGAGAGTACTTGAGGCCCTCATCTCCTTTGCTCCAGTTCGAATTACTTGTTCAAATTATTATTATTATTAATTATTATTATTAAACGTGCTACAGTGTACATTTGATGTATTAAATACTGTACATCCTATTAACATTTTTAAACAAACACGGAGAGCTTTCTCTGGATAATCATGACACCTTTTCAGTATATTTTAAGATATATCTATTTTTTTATCACTTTTTTCTACTGCCAGCTGATGCTGCCAACTAGCCTTGTGGTAGATCTGCCCAGCTGTCACACCAAATTTGCAAGCCTTTGCGGATGGCTCCGTCATACTGTTGGCTACTGAACAGGCTTGAAGCAAACTCTGCCTGTGCTGTTCTTTCTTTCTTATTTATTATCTTGTTAACTAATAATGCCAAACATAGACACTCACAGTTCAGACACTGGTTGTCTCTGAATGAAATTGGGGCCTACGTTATAATCTAAACTGTAAATAAATAGGGCAAAAGAACTGTGGAACGTTGACAGATTTTCATTTCATAAAAAAAAAATCAAATAATTATACACTCACCATTCACACACTGAGCCTAAGTGCTCAAACAGAAACTAACATTCACACACATTCATTCATACGGAACAGCCACCAGGGACAATTCAAGGTTCAGTATCTTGCCCAAGGACACTTTGACATGGAGCCTGGAGGAGCTGGGGATTGAACCGCCAACCTTCCGGTTAACGGGGAACCCACTCAATCTCCTGAGCCGCCATAAGGAAGGAGAATTAACAGTCCTAATGACCAGTGTTACTATAGAGGTGGGACACCACAGAAAAAGATGCTTACCAAGCAAGAGAGGCTGTATAAACACTTTGACTCAGCAGACCCACTATGGAAAATTAGCAGCATTCCTTCTTCTTGCACTGCAAACACTATTGTTTTAGAAAGCTGAATTTCCCTAAATACCACGCCAGAGGGTGTAGGAATGTATAGCCCCCCCCCAAATATAAATCACTTTTACATAAATCTAACGATGCAATGTACTGAAATATACACACATAAAATGTTCCACTGCTTTGGCAACACGTTTAACCTAAAGCTTGTTTGAATTTTAATTTGGGAAGGAGGAGAAGTAGGAGAGGGAAAAGATGAACAGATGGGGAGAAAATGGTGGAATATACAGTAGAAGGGGAAAGGAACGGAGGAGGAGAGGGCAAGACGTAGAGGGGAGGGAGGAAAGAAGGAGAGTAAAGGTGGAGAGGAAGGATGGAGAGAGAGGAAGAGAACAGGAAGGACAAAGAGAACACAGGGATGTAGAAATACATGGGAGGAGGGAGGTGGGATTGAAAGCGACAGAAAAAAAGTGAATAATCACTCCCTCTCTTCTTTCATCTGCAGGCTTAAAGGCTTAATCTGCCTCCTGTGAGTGTGTGTGCCCGCCTGTGTGTCGGTGTATAAACGGACGAGTCGACGAACTGCTGCTGCTGTTCCAAAGTGAACCGCCAGATGGAAGCACACACTCACAACTTAACCTTTCATTCAGGCACTGGAGGAATACCTTGCTCTGCGGCACACTGGCAGGATGCTGAACTGAACTGAACCTGTAGTGTTTACTTTCTTCTTCTCAATTCCTTTTACATACTGGTATGTAAATAAACAGTATGTATGCTTGTGTGTAAAGTTTTTTTCCATTCCAAACACAAGTTTTATTAAAAAACAATCGCACCAGTGAAGATTCCTGTGCCAATGATGAGTCCATTGATAAATGCAGGTTTTGAACCGAGTAGATGCAAGGGTGTTAAGATTTCTCAGGGTTGAGAGGAATGATGCTCTGAACACCAGTTTCTGTCCACCCACCAAGCCAATTACTTGCCCACGCTCACTCTTAAAATGCTTTTAGGGTAAATTATGTGAAAGAAAAAAACATTTAAAAACTACAATTACCACCCCAAAGTTTTTCGTCTCCACCAACAAGTCAAGCTGCAGTGTATATCCATGTGTGTCCAGATAGAAAGAACTGGAAGAAAGTGATAAAGTTATAAAGTAACACTCTAAATGGCTAAATGGAAGTTGTCATAATATTTTATATTTTTGTTCTGATCTATTCTGCTATACAAATAAAGTTATTTTTATTACTAATAATATATATTGTTAAACTGATTAATGAAGGACTATCTTAGATGTATTACACATGGAATCGCCCAATGTATTCTTAAATTAAATTAAAACTGCAAGCAGAAATGAATGGGCCCTGGCAGGTAAACAGGTAACATAAAATTCACCCCATAAAGTTGGTTGTCATGAAGAGGGAATAAGCTGAGACCAAAAACCGCTTCTTTGTACCAGGCTGTAAAGATGTTTACTTCTTTTAAGCAGGGCATTTTAACATCGGGATCTTTGGATACTGACTTGCTTTTGATGCCAGCCTCAAGTGGCCATTCGAGGAATTGCAGATTTTGGCACTTTGAGTTGGCTTCATATTTCAGCCATTTCGAAGAATGGCCAAACTCCTGCATTTCATTTCGTTGGCAGCTTCCCTGCTAGTGCGCAGACTTCTTGGAAATGGTGTACAAACACATCTCAATGTCCAACGTGATATGTGTCTTTAACGCTGGCTGTGCTCTAGACAGTGTGTCAAACACAAATTATCCCAACGTCCAGACAGTTATTATAACTGCTTCATCATTTCCTCTGTAGCAAAGACTGACTCAACACGGCCTCATCGCAGTACTGTGAATGAGGGTTAGGTTGAACAGTTTATTACAGGATATTATTATGATATAGTATTTTTGGGACTGAGAGTGACAATGATTGATTATTTTGTGCTAATAATAATCCTGCCCAAAAACTAATTTTCTAGTTTTTCTCCATTATTTTTTTAATCTTATAAGGGCGTAAAAGCTTCTAAAACAGCATTTAGATCATATCTGGATGCTAGAGCAAAATCCGTATGGAGAGATTGTTTTGGGTAGAGTAGCAGCTCTTTTTGGCTGGGTAAGGCAAATTGTCACTTCAGATTTATAGATAGCTGAGAAAGATCATTCCAAAACAAACTAGAATGATTTCTAAGGCATTTTTATTTTCTAGGATGCTAGCTCTTTAATATCAGAATGACACAAAAGGATAACATAAACGGTTTATTTTTAACAAATGATACAGCACTTTAACTACCATGTTCCAAATTTTATGCAATATATTCAGCATGAATTATAATCTCTGAAAAAATAAGAGTTCAAGCCATCTTTGAGTGTAACGATGTAAACAAGGCTGCTGCATGCTGTTCCATAGTCAATGAGCTGTTTGTCAGCTCGCCATAGATTAGCTGTCCCAGACAGTGGAGCCAACAGTGAAACAAATGGAGCTGAGACAGATGCAAGCTTTCTGTGCCATCTTTCACTGTCAGTGCAGCCCGGCTTAACATCCACAGCTTTAACACTGCAGATCTCGCAACATATAGGATGGCATTCAGCATTTGTGCCAGCTGCCTGGGTTAATGACACTAACTGAGGTAGGAGAGGACTACTGGCCCATCACACACACACACACACACACACACACAATAGATTTCACATTCACAGAGCCACGGGAAACCTGCATCCTGACATGGTGTTAAAGGCAATTACAGTATCTAAGGTGAGTTTTATTTACAGGATGACTGAAACCTTTAACATTTTCAGGCACCATTGTTTCTTATTTCACCATTTAAATTGTACTTCATTCTCCACTTTATTTTTGTGTTTACTCACTACTTGAATCTGATCCCTTTCCCTTCAGTTTCTTTTTCCCCACACACACGCACACACACACCTACACCTCTGGTCTCTTACTGAAAACACACCGGCTTGCCCCGCCTCTTTCTGTTTCTCTCTCCCTGTGTGTGTCTGTTTTGTTCAGTACCTTTAATAAAAAGCTGAAAAGACACAGAACTTGTCTTTTGGATTTTTCCACCCGCGAGTCTGCTGTTACAGCAGCAGGTGCTCCGCATGCGGAGGCGTCTTGTTAATGACATAGCCCATCAAAACCAAGTACTGAATGACATCTGCACTGGTATGTTCACTGTTCACTGTTGCTTTATCTGGTCTGTGCTTGTAAAATATCCACCGTGTCCGCCTCTTGTAACGTAATACCAGATAACACCTCTCTCTGTTTTCTCTGCAAAATGCTGAAACAGGTTGCAAAATATACCTGGTCGGCCGTTAATACAGCTGGGCCGCCCAGTGAAGTCTACATATGTGGAAAACACGCCAAACGTTCCAGCTCCTTAGTTGTTTTTCTTTGTCTTATATAGTGGTTCATCAATACGTTTTGAATGTTGATCAGAAAAAATAAGTTATTTGAAGACATCAGGATCAGTATCTATTTCCACAGTGGCCCTTTCACAGTATGACTGTTGAATGTTGTCTTAAAACATGGCAATGATATCTGACTTGCAGCTAAAATGTGTTTCTGTGGTGGTGAGGATGAGGCTCACCTTCTCTGCTTTGGGCGTGATGGCACCCTGGGTGTGGGAGGGGCCCGGCAATGGCGGCTGGAGGGGACTGACTGGCTCCCCGTTGAGGAGCACCGCTGACACGTTAGGAGGCGTGAGACAGGAGAGAGGGGAGGAGAGGGGGAGGAGGGGCCGCGAGGCGGGGGAAGAGAGGGGTGAGGGTCCTAAGCTGGGTCCTGGAGACACCATGGAGAGAGGACGACCCGATTGGCCGGGGCAGCGTGAAGGGGAGGAACTCTGAGGACGCAGCGGGGAGATGGCCACTGTGGGACGCTCTGGGCTTCCAGCAGGAGGACTGTGGACTAAAACAGACACATGTGTTAGTACAATTGTGAGAGCCATCAGTCATCACTAGTTCTGTGAGGGAACACGCCAATATTTTGGGAGTCTGACTCAGAGATCTTCTTCCTTATTTGTTGGGGAGAGAATTGGTATCAAAATAATCTGTGTCTCTGGTATGTAGGTCTGTCTGGTCCACTTGCTTTCAAAGACAGACACTCCCTGGTACCTGTAAAATATAGACACACTACTAGATTGTTTTGTGGCAACTTTAGATTACTGTAATGTCTATTTTGATATACTGGGTAATTCAAAATGTAATTACTTGACACAGTGTTCTGCTTAAGTCTTAAAGGCTTAAGCAGAACAGTGGTAAAGGCTGCTGAAGAAACACTCCAGAGAGATGGCCACCCTATCAGAAAGATATAGTAGATGAACGCAATTATTTACAAATTACTGTGTGGGGTCTTGAGGACACCTCACTTGCACATCTTCTGACTAAAACCCATAAACACGGGGAGAACAGGCTAATCTGAGAGGATGCGGTCCAAAATTCAAACTAACTTACTCAAAATGTGAAAAAAATAGAAAGCTTCAAAGAAACTGTGAATAATAAGCTATAACTCAAGGCCCTAATTCTGAACAAACCCCTTGTAGAACTAAAAACTGGCTGCGATAACCTAAGTTTGGAGCACTTTTCTCAGCCTTTGAATTTGTATGAGGACATTTGGTGCTCATTCGGATAAAAGTACACCCACATAAACACACGAACACTTTGCACACACACACACACACACACACACACACACACACACACACACAGTTGCTAGCCACCTGCTCTTCTACACTGCAGTACTCAAGCAGAAATCCATAGAGGCGCATGGGTCATGTGATAAAACCACTAAATGCCAGAACTATGCACATACTTTATTTTGTAATGGAGACCAGATGTGTGTCTGTTTGTGTGTGTGTGTGTGTGAGAGAGACGGAGTGAGAGTGAGAGAGAGAGAGAGAAAGAGAGACAGAGGGAGGAAAAGAGGGAGAGAAAAACAGGGAGAAAAAGGAAGGAGGTAGACAGAGAGAGGCATGAAGCTCTGTCATTACGCCTCCATAAAACAAAAAGCACAGTGATGTCATTCAGCTGTGTGTTTGTGAGCCTGTGTGTGTACGTGGGAGAGAGCACATGTCTGTGTCGGTGTGTGTTATTCTTGGAAGTGTTCTGGCAGTGTGTACTCTTCTGCCTCCCAAAAGAAACCTTCGCCATTATTTTCTTTGAGCGAGACGGAAAAAATACAAAGAGGAAGAGAGAAAGGGGTGCTGGAGAGATGAATAGACTCTGAGTGGAGAACAAGGCTGATATGATCTAGACCTTGTACAGACTCAGGTCTGTGTGTGTTGGTGAGAATTGTGCGTGAGCGTGTGCACGACAGGCACAAACAGTACCACAGCGTGATCAGAGCTCTTAGCAATGTCTTTGAGTTGGGTGCATACTGCATGTGCACAGTTTACATGTTTGAGGGCATGTTGTAACACTGCAACTGTGCCAAATTATTCTGTGAGTTACAGTGTGTTCTTGTAACAATTCTGCAGTAGTGGCTTATGTTTAGTGATGATTCGGTGGGTTCATATTAGGGCTGCACAATTAATTGATATTGATCGCGATTACGATTTTAGCTTCCCACAATTAAATGAACACGATAAACGGTGATATCACCGTTTAAAATGCGTGCTCCGCTCATGGAAAAGTCTCCTGCATATCAAATCAAGCGCTTCCTAAACTTACAGCCAAGGGGAGATTTGGCTGCACGCGCACCCTCCTGCTGCTACAGTCCAGAGTAGACAGTCCACGAGTTCCATGTGTCTGCCGCGCCATGGCTGCCAGAGCTGGTCGCGGCCCTTCTAGTCAAGGGTAAGCAAGAGATCGGACAGTGAAGCCGACCAAAGCCTGCATGGAGGGATCCATGTAGGCCCAAAAATGACGTCAAAACCCTGTGACACCCCGTCACACATGAGAGATGTAACCGTATTGCTTAGATTATAAACTCTCAGCAATCTAAAAAAAATATTCGGCCATCAGTGACGCTGCATTGGTGTTTCACAGGTAAGCCTCGGAGATGGGCTGATTAATCAGTGACAATCCTAGTCAGACAAACACACTGAGCCATGAAACTTTTTGTTGGTGCAGCTACGCAGCTACCAGAATTACGGCGTTTCTGCCGTTGTTCTACGTCATTAAACCACGGATATGCTGCGTGATCATGTGCAGTAGACGCTGGTGCCAACAGGAAGTAGCCCTTTAGTAGTATTTTATTGGTCCAAACCTGGTTTCACTCCTCTCCATTCAAATCAGCGGAGTGGCTTCGTCCACTAATATACTGCCTATGAGTACATACTCCCGATCATAAATCAACAAAAAACACAGTTAAAACAGACAAAAAGAACCATTTCTCTACATATCCTGCTTAATCATAGAAGACGAACAAAAGCAAGCACTGATTACCAAATCAACATCTCATGCAAAATCAGGCAGAAATGATTCTGAAATGCTCCCTGTGGGAGAGCCATGCAGACAACCGAACAAAATGGGGTCACAGAGAACTGTTGCTGGTAAGCAGAGCAGAAGCCATAGGTAGAAGCACAACAAGGACAAAAGCCAACAAAAAACAACAAGCCAACAATGTGCTTGCCTCCTGAAATGAGTCTGAGACGCTGCCAGTGGAAGTTAACGCTGTGCAGAGGACGGGACAAAACCGTGGCGTGGCAGTAGCCGGACTCAGTGGACTCCAGGTAAAATAAAGGAACAGTCTTCTTTTGTTGCAAAGATTTGTACATGCAGAAATCCAGCACACCATGGACTTGAAAATAGTTGCCTGTTTATTTAATTTTTAAAATGTTTTATTTGAAAGTGCAATAGAAATTGTTGTTCCTAAAATAAATGAATAATCGTGATCTCAATATAGATCAAAATAATCGTGATTATCATTTTGGCCATAATCGTGCAGCCCTAGTTCATGTAGTGTAGAGAGAGGTAAGAATGTGGATGAGGTTTACTTCCAGTAACAGTATCATAGTGGGTTCACTATCTATTCTCATACTTGTAGTCAGTCTGGAAAGACCATTTTACTTGGACCACAGTTTTGTCTCAATTTAATCTGCACCTGAACCATCCTCTAATTGTCATGGGAGAAATGTCTGTGTGACTAACTAGTGGAAAAACACTGGCAGTGAACATTTTGCAGATACAGACATCCTCTCATATATGTTGAAGCATTTAATTTACCCCAAAATACACCAGTCCCCAGGAATCTTTCAGTGTGGATGTACTTTGCACGTTCAGTCAAAGGACAGGCAGGTTAGGGCCGACCTGGGGCCCTTAAGGGGTTGAAGACGCTGACAATATAATTGCAATGTCCCTGCCGGTTCCAGTTGCATGTCATTCCTCATCTCTCTCTCCTCATTTCCTATCACCTCTGTACTGTCTCTCCTATCTTAAAAAGGTGAAAATGCCTGAAATAAATAAATCAGGCGGTTACGTGAATTGGAGAGGATACAATATATTGACATTTATACATACAATTTATGGACACAAATATATGTCCACATACTTTAGTGTAGTTTGGGCTGGGGCTGTTTTTCATGATTTGGACTTGGCCCCTTTGTTCCAGTTAAGGGAAATATTACTGCTACAGCACACAATGATATTTTAGTTAATTGTCCACTTCTAACTTTGTGGCAAACTCTTTATTGTTTCAGAATGAAACAGCCATGTACCAAGCCATAAATAAATGGTTTCCCAGTTCCTGGAATGCACAGAGCCCTCTCCAATCCAACACCTTTAAGACAAACTGGAACGCCTACTGCAAGCCAAGTTTTATTGCCCAACATCATTGGCTAACCTCACTGATGCTCCTGTGGCTGAACGGGAGCAAATTCATGGAGACAGGTTACAGAATCTTACCAGAGGAGTGGCTCCTGTTATAGCAGCACATTAATCATGATTTTGGAATGAGTTCAAATGTTCACAAACTTTTGGCCATGTGCTGTATGTGAATGCCACTAACTGGATCTCATCCTTCTCATTCATTTGGGTGTTCATCAAACCTTTTGTAGATCTATTTTGGGGGTTTGCTTTGGTTTAAACATGACTAACCTCCAGTTTTGTCAATGCTGTTAAAGAGGCTGCTGAGAGCACATGCCTGCAAATATTTACATGGTGTAGAGGCTGCTTGAATTAATGAGTGATCAATATTCTATTATTCCGTAATCAGAGACTAAAGGACTAAAATGCTGCAAGGTCCCCACTGATCTGGACTCTGCTCTTTTAGCGCAAGAGGCAATATTGCAGAGCATGAAGTTGAAAAAAAAAGATACATCTCCATGTGATTAAATACTTTATTGTGTAGAGAGATTCACATTTCTCTCTTTCTTGGTCAAGAGAATTATGAATCCTTTACTTAAAATGGTGGTGGGGTCTGTGCCAGTATGATAGCTCATAATAATCAGTAAACATGTGATTGGGATAGATCAATCAACTGTTAAAGGGCAACAAAACTGAAAACACATGCTTCTGAATGTTTAATGAACCCAGTGTAACTATACAGATATAAAAATGCTTCATGATTAAAAGCTATATATATTATGAGTATTTCTACAGTTGCATTTGTTTCTGCTTACCCAGCTGCATTGAGGTGCGTGCCTGGTTAACCGTATGCTGACTAGAGCGCAGGCAGTTCTTCAGCTGGGCGGCAGCAGTTTGCGGCGAGGAGGCGGGACTGACACTGTTAACAGAGTTGACTGAGTTTACCAGTGGGGTGGAGGGACGGGATGAAGAGGGTCCCGAGGACCCCGGGGACGAAGGGTCGGAGATTTTACTCCCCCCTCCACCTCCTCCACCAACTGGACTGGACAAACACGAGCCCCGAGAAGCACCAACTCCAAATGGAGCCCTGCAGAGGAGAGAGGGGAGAGAGTGGGTTGTCACTGAATGTTAATCTGATCAATAAATGCTAGTTTAGCCACGCTAGCAGTGGGGCCCTATACATGGCAATATCTGTCTGTCTGTCCACCACTTTGATCCAGACAGAAATATCTCAACTACTATTAAATGGATTGCCATGAAATGTGGAACAGATATCCATGGTGCCAAGATGATGCATCACAATGAGTTTGGTGAGCACCTGACTTTTCCTCTAGCGCCACCATGAGGTTGATATTTGTGGTTTTGGAACTGTAATAACTTTGGTGATCCCTGACATTTCATCTCACGCCATCATCAGGTTAAATTTAGAATTTGTCTAAAACTTTTGGTTGCAAATTCCCACTTTGTTTTTAGTGCTAATTAGCAAATATTAGCATGCTAACAAGCAAAAAATATGCTTAAACATGGTCACCGTTATACTTGCTTATAACATGTTGTCGTCATGTTAGCACGCTAAAGTTAGCATTCAGCTCAAAGCAACGCTGTGCCTAAGTACAGCCTAACAGACCTGTTAGCATGGTTGTATTGTCTTCTACTCTCGTCTTGTTTAGTATAAAATGTTAATAGCCAGTATTCAGTCTATAATGGCAGAGCAGGAGCTGCAAACGGTACTATTATCCTCTGTCAATGTGAGTGATTTCACTGCTATTATCTGGCCGGTGGATCAGCACGACATGGTGTCTTTCTGTAACATATATGGAGCTGCAGGCTGCTCATGTTTCTGTCTGCAGAGTGCTGAATGGCAGAACAGTGAGCTGAACCTTATTGACTTGGTGGAATTCACATTCTTATGGCTCTCATTGACTTCCCGTCACACACATACAGAGTTATGGCTTTCTGTGTATGTGTGTCCACAAATGGAAACAGCGAAGTTCTTCACACATTCTTTGATTTGAGGTTCTCCACGGACAAGGCACACATGCTTTCATTTGAACTGCTGATTGTGTGAGTTGTGTCAGTAACTTTTGAGATTTCATACAATTTTTTAAGAGCAGACAATCATCCTTTGCACCAAAGCTGCATACTTTCTGCATTTACTCCATTATGATGCGTAACAAATTTTCAAATACATCCAGGATAACAATAATCCAAATGCATTCATGAAGTCTTATGTGGAATCTGATCAAATTTTATGTTGGTATCAACTATCATAATAAATTCCACAACAAATATATAAATATTCCAACTGCATTTAAAAAAATGACATGCCTATTTGGCCTCCTGTATTGGTGTAACTCTACAGTGTGTGTGTGTGTGTGTGTGTGTGTGTGTGTGTGTATGTGCATCTTTGGCAGCCTCTCATTATCATATTGAGAAATTTCTGAGCTGCACTGCAGACAAAAGAGGGGGGAGAAGGAAGGAGGGAGGGAAGGAAGGAGGGAGAGGGTATGCTTGCGTAAAAATAACAAATTGCCTCTCATTTGATTACTCGCCTATCCTGCCTTTCTCTCTCTCTCTCTCCCTCTCTCAGATTGCATAACTGCAGAATGTGAAGCAGTCATTCATATCCACTGGAGAGGGACACCTGCTGTTTTTGAAGCCGTTTCATCTATTGATTTTCTTTTTCTTCTTTCTCCTTCTCCCTCCTCTTCACTCTGTCACTTTCTCTTTCAACTACCTTCTATTTCATTTTCCTCTCATCTTCCTGTACATTGTTCTACCTACTTCACCTTTTTCTTTCTCCATCCCATTCAGTCCCTCCTCTCTGCTCAGTTTCTTTCTCACATGTTCTCTGTCTCTCCTACAGTACCATTTCTTTCTCTTCATCTTCTCATCATATTTCTCACCCTTCCTTCTGCCTTTGTTTTCTTTCCCTTTTCTATTATTCTAATTCTCCCTTGCTTCTCATTTCCTTCCCCTCTCTCATTTTCTCTGACCGCATCACAGAGCAGAATACAGATTAGATGAACAGCAACTGCAAATGTTTTCACGCATACAGGAATAATGAGGGTAATTAAATCGCCAAATATGATTTCAGCACACTCATTTTTTTTATTTATTTGATTTGAGGAATTATGAGTAACACTGTGTAGAATGCCAAAAGTAACGATGATGATGATGATGATGATGATGATGATAATGATGGTGATGATAATCTGCACAGAGTATGTGGTAGCCTAACATTAAAAAGACAGCCAGTATCAACTGACTGCGTCTTTAAATCAAATTTGAAATATCTCAGGTTTTGTAAGGTCTCTTAAAATCTGCTTTCCTACTTAGAGTTAAATCAGATTTTAAGACTCATCTTAGAAAAAGATTTGTACATACAAATCTAAAATTTCCAAAAGAGATTGATTGGTTTGAACTGATTTTCACCTGATTTCCATTCTATTCAAAGTGGTTTTGTTTTCTGTTGTAAAGGACAGTGTTCACAGCAGTGTACAGTCACTTCCTGATAAGCACTTCTCAGAATATGCCTCTGGTGGATTCGCTGTTGTGACCAAATGATTTTGGTAGTTTTGGTGGCCAGAGGTGAAAGCAGAGTCCTGACAAAGCAGGGCACAGTGTGGCGTAGAGGCTAAAGCGGAAAGAATACATTATCAGCACGAAGTATCCGCAGATTGCACCTCCGCCAACTGAAGCCCAAAAAATTGCTTTTTGGGGCGTGCCTTTGTGACAAGAGGCACTCTGAATACACGGAAACACACGTGCAATTACATGCCATAACAAGTACCAAAATTGCACTTCTCCGCCTGATCTGTATTTGGGTTCAGTTGGAGCCAGGAAATATCCACCAAAAATTACAATGTAAATTACAGTGTACAAATTACAGCAATGTTACCACTGCCTGTGAGGAGAAAATTAGGGGCCTTAGACTGATTGTGTTGGCTTCATGACAAAAACAAGTGAACTGAATGATAAGTAAAGCAAAGGTTTGAAAAAACAGCTGTTTAAAACTGCATATATAAATGCCATAAATGTTTTCATTGATTTCAAAGGTTTCATTGGCTTCAGTGCAAAAAGAGAAGGAGCTATCCTTCAAGCTTCATCACCACCACTAATATGACAGCTACTTTATCTGGATGCTGCAGAAGCTGTATCTCCACGATACCCTCCACCCTCTTCATGCCAAAGCCTGAGCTCACTGACCTGGACACGGGGGTGACATAGTTTCCTGGGAAGACACCGGAGGCAGCGGTTCTCAGTGAGGTGCCCTTGAACCATCCGTCCTGACACTTCTCTGTCACCCGGTACATCTCCCCTTTCCTAAGTTCAAGCTCATCAGCCTTCTGGGGCTTGTATGCGTATAGAGCCAGATATCTGGGGAACAAAAGCAACAGATAATATGTAACAGTGAGTCAATTCTGCAGGAAATATTGAGAAACTGTTCACTAAATAACAATTATTTCCCTTGTGGATTACCCCTAATATGTATTATGCAAAGTAAAAGCAAAACCATTACAATTCAAATAAATCAATGAATAAAGAAATGTAAAACATTAGCAAATGAATGAACTAAAAAACAAGTACAAATGTCTGTCAGTATGCTAAGAAGGAAGGAGAGAATACCACATTTCACTGCTCTTTTATTTAAATCAGAAGGCAAATAACTCGTCCGGTATCAAGATAATGACAAATTCCATTTTTTCCAAACAAAATAAATAGTGTATTTCTACACATCTTATCTTTAGTTGTTTAACCGAGATTTACTGTGCAGAGGAACAAACTATGGAAGCATATAAGGGACTATATTAAAATGATAATGTAAACTTGAAAATGAAATTCCAAAATGGCATTATCATTGTCCACATGTGTTATTTGAGTAAAAATTAAAAAGCAAAAATCCAATTTGCATTTTCCCAGACTTTTTTATGACAATATTAAAATGAAAATGGAAAAGCTGACATTTAATTTCCAAAGTTGTACCCCGCAGTGGGCAATATTCAAATGTTAATTTAAAATATAAAAGTAAAATGCAATATAAATAATGTAACCTGATTTTCCATTTATACAAGCAATATTTAAGTCAAATTCATAGTGGCATGTTCATTGAATTATATTTTTTGGGGGGGATATATAATATATTGCAATAAACTATGAGCTATAGCACAGCCATTACAAAAATCTCTTATTATAAAAAAAAAAAGGCCGACTCGCATCAAATCAAAGATGGATTACTGCTTTAATATTGCAGTGTATCCTGGGATTCATTAAATCATTAAGGATAATTCAAGTCATTAGTAGTAATGTGACCACCAGAGGCTGACTGAATGATTTTTTCCCCTCCAAAATTCTATGGTAAGCCATGCAAAGGTACTTAATCAATATGTCCTTGTTTACCTGCCTGCTAACTGGTACACTGATGAATGCAGTACTTAGCATCTCACTATATGTGATTATGTTTATGCATTGAGTATTGTGTATTTCCTTTGACTTAACATATAAATGAGTTTCTGGTTCTGTCGCTGGGAGACATTCGTAGTATGTGGTGCCAAACTCCGACAGAAGATGATAAGACCACAGAGTAAACAAGCCCTATATGTGCTGCCTCCTGGTTGCCATGGTAACAGATGTGGGGACCATCTCCTGTCTCCCCATGGCAACAGGAATAGTTGCCAGGTCAAGATGGAAACGTCCGACCTCATCAGAAGAACAAACCCAACACGGACATGTGTGTATTAATTGTATGTGTGTGTGTATGTGAGCCAGTGTCCTTGTATGTGTGTGTGTATGTGAGCCAGTGTCCTTGTGTGTGTGTGTGTATGTGAGCCAGTGTCCTTGTGTGTGTGTGTATGTGCCCAGCGCTACTTGGAATGTGATATTATTGAAGCTAACAACATTGCTGTATTTGACTCACATCCTGCAGGTAAGACACCAGTTAACAGTAAACAGCACACACACACACACACACACACACACACACACACACACACACACACGTGTGTAGTTTTACTTTTACTATATTTGTGAGGACCACCATTGCCATAGTGCATTCCATGGCGCCTTAACAAAACCATACACCTGATTCTAACCTTGGAAGAGGTGAGGACTGACCAAATCTCTATCCAAAAATATCCCAAACTGTCCTCACTCTCAATGTCTAAAGCTCAAATTGGTCTGCACAAAGACAAAAGTACAAGAGCACAAACACACACTCACCTTGAAGATACCCATATCTTTCTGGCAGGTACTTGGTAGATTAATTACGAGGTAAATTATAGAACAGTCTTGCTCAGCGTTGGAGTCTCACCAGCCATCTGGAAGTGACTAGTGAGGTTACATTTCCACAAGAATTTAATTGTGTTTGTGAGTGTGTGTCAGGTCGGTTTTGGCTCCTTATCCATTCTAGAAATTATCAACTTGTGAAGTAATTTAAATCAATAGCAAAGCCTCTACCTGCAGCATGTGTAACCCTACTTAGTTAGTCTCTTCTGAGTTGTGTACCGAGTGCTCTATTGTAATATCAGCATATAGAATGTTTCAGCAAATTTGGCCAGATCCATTTTAAAAAAGAAAAACAAATCCCCCTATAATCCCTAAAAAGCTGAAACATGTCAGCATGAGAGTTGCGCATATATTCTGAACTAAATGTATATCTAATCCTGCATTTGTTTGTAGAGACTAAACACTTCGTTGTTCATTAATGAAAAAATGGTGTAAAGTGTAAGCCATGGTTGTGCTGTTGAAAGCCTAGTTATAAAACACTGATGTAAGCATCACAACTGAGGGAATGGTGTGTGACTGTAGTTTTTCCTTTCTGAGGGGGATTTCATCCTTGACCAGTGGAGGAGTAAATGTGGTTGCAGAGGTGGTGGAACATGGCCAGTAACCCCAGGCACAAAAGAGGAAATATTTTTAACGCTGCCAGGAGGCGGAGTCTGAAATCATGGTTGGATCACATATCCACTCTGTTGAAAAACTGAACGGGAAGGAGGAACTAAAAAACCCAGGTCGCAGGTGGGTGAGCTGACAGCACCCCGAGGTATACTCACATGTTGAGTGGCAGCTGCACCTTGGCATGGGCCAGCAGCTCAGAGGTTATGGATGCCACTTTGGGGGGCACCAGCACCCCCGCTGAGGAAGGAGAGGGACCCGGCTGGGATACATCCTAAAGACACACAGCATACAATGTGAGTGGTTTCATTTAAAATAAAACATTACCTATTACAAAATGTGACAGCAGCATCTCTAGCTGTGAATTCAACCAGGGGCAATAAATGAAAAAGCAGTCTCCAGTCTACAGCTATCAAAAAGAGGAATGTTTTTATTCACATGGAACTGTCACAGTAGGTGGTTGGGGCATAAGATCATAAAATCTAGTGGAAATGGACTGACAAAAGTGAACTTTTCCAAAATGTACGTGAATGTGTTCAATATATGCTTAGAGATTGACTAAGAAATCAGCTGGGATGGCAAATTCTGTATATCAGCATTACTGTATATGTTGGCTGATATATAACAATAAAATGCAGAACAAAAAGATATGTTAAAGGTGGTTAGAAAAATAAAAAAATAATATGGCATTAATCAGCTTAATCAGCACTGTGTCCCACACAGCTTTTACACATATTATGCTAATTACAGTGTGAGTGTGTGTGTTTGCGTGTGAACCTGGATGCGTGCAGCGGCCCTGGGGTCAGAGGAGCTGATGAGGACGGGGTGGGAGATCTCCATACTGTGTCTGTTGTTAAGCTGGGCTGCCCTCTGGCTGACAGACAGCGCTGAGAACGAATGCCTCTTCTTGGCGTTTTTCTTCCCTTCGCCTCTCCGATGGCCAGAGCCATTTCCATTGGACGGGGATGCGGTGGGGGAGGGGCCAGGAGTGCAGGGGCCCAACGGGGCTGGCTCAGAGCTGGGACCTGGAACGTTAGTAGGGGTGGGCTTGTCGATCTCCATCAACTGCTTGGCTGTTTCATTTAACTGGAGGAGAGCACAGGCGGTGAGGAGGGGAGAACAGAAGAAGGAAGGAGAGAGGAGGACAAGAGAGAAGAGCGGAGAAGTTCAGGTGTTAGATTTCAGTCCTCAGTGGTTCACATCCATAACAAGATCCTCAGCACACACAAGAAGTGTGTTTGTGTGGCCTTTCCTCGCTTGTTCTTGTTGGCAGCTTTTCAAACCAGCAACATAACAATCATCACTTACAATCAATCAACAGCTGTTCTAGTGAGACTCCCTCTGTGTAACACACACTCTCACTGTCTCTCTTTGTCAAATAACCCACCCAAACGTGAGCATCCCTAGAGCTTGGCAGGATTATTCTTCCTCTCCTCACTTTGGTTTCATTTCAGTTCAAACTTGGGTAAAATCTGATACATTAAAAGTTATCTAATTTTTAAAACATAAGAATTCCACCTTTTTCATACATAAGGACAGTGTTTGATGGTCCACCTTAGTTTACCTGTAAGAATTTCACGATGTTTTAAGTAATTTTCACAGTTAAAAAGAATCCCTCCAACTCGATTGTATGCCAAATATAATCACCAAGTCCCTGATTTAACAGTTCGGTTAATCCAAAACATCCTTGACTGGGTAACAAAGAAATGACATGTCTGATGACTGTCTGCCCCCCTGTCCGGCCCGGTGACAAACCAATACATAATTCAATAAATAATAAAACAGACAAAGGAGAATATTAATACTCTCTTGTTAAAGTAAAATCTGTCTGGCACAATATGGTATCCAGCTCATCATACTCTATACCAGGCTGCTGGGCAGGACAGGTTTAAAAAAAAAAAAAAAAAAAAAAAATACAAACAAAGAAATGATGATGACAAATAACAGACACACAGAAACTAACACAAACTTCTTTCCCTGGTTGTCTTTTCAGTTCCATGACACCTTTGGGAATAATGAAGCAAATTAGCCTATATGTATAATCTTTGCACTTGATTTTGATGTTTCAGATTTGATTCAATATTGTGTAAGATTAGTATAAAGACGGATTTCTGAAAATAACTTGTGAAGAGAGCAGCATGATGAGGAATTGTGCAATACCCACAAAAGTGATGGGTGTGTGACCTGAAGATCTGTCGTCTTACCCTTTTCTAATGAAGATCACAATGGAAATAAACTTTTAGCTGTATCACGTTTTTATGCTCCACAATTTTAATTCCTTGTCAGGAGTGATTGTAGCCTTGTATTTACTTTTAGTATTACCAGACAACTGTGAGAAATAAACACTGCTTCTAGCACAGAGCTGCATATATTGAATGGTTTTGTCTAAGCTTTTTTTGTTGCACCAGAAACTGCACAGGAATAAACACCTGGTTTTAAGGTAACTGCCCTCTCTGTTGCTGCATGTTTTTTTTTTATGAGAAGCATAAATTTTGTTATGATTTTTCTAAAATTATCAGGAACAAAAGCAAGGTAGTGAGTCATTAAGTCTTAGGGCTGAAACGATTGATCAATTAATTTGATTACTAAAAAGCAATTGCAAATTCTTGCATCAATGTCCATATAACTACATACAACACTGTTTCGCACAAACATTTATTACTGTCGCACATCGTGCTTACGCTCTGTGAAAAACACGACGTGATTATGATGGCGCTTTTTGCAAAGTGGAGGAAGAGAGAGAAAATAAGTATGGGATTATTTCAAGCTAAAAGAAAAGAACAGGTAGGTAGGTTTATTGTGAAATTGAGTTTTGTTACTCCTTTATGCTACATAGCAAACTATACATTTACATTTACTTATTTGGCAGACGCTTTTATCCAAAGCGACTTACATTTGAGAAACAACATACAAGCATCAACAAAGCATCAAATACAGCACAAGACAACAACTAACAATACATACTAGTAAGAGCAGCAATAAATACTAGTAAGAGCAGCAATAAATACTAGCAAGAGCTAATAGCACATATCGCATCAATGGGGTAAATACCTAGGGAAAGAAGTGAGAGTTAACAAAAAAGTGCAATCAATATAAGATACAATATACATTAATACAGAGTAAAATATGAAAAATGGTAAACAGAAATAACCTATCATCAATGGTGCAGTGCAGGGGATGAATTAGAGCTTAAGAATCTGATGGCTTGGGGGAAAAAGCTGCTCTGCAGTCTGGTGGTGCGGCAGCAGAAACTTCTATATCTCTTCCCAGAAGGAAGCAGGCTGAACAGGCTGTGGCAGGGTGGGTACTGTCCTTTAGTATCCTTTCGGCTCTGCGTAGGCACCTCACTTCACTGACATCACTGATGCTTGGGAGATGGGTACTAGCAATGATCTTCTGAGCAATTTTAATCACCCGCTGCTCTGTAATATTACAGTCCGTCCACCGCAATGTGGCCTACCAATAGACCATATATAAAAAGGGCCGACCGCAAAGGCACGACGGTGTAATGTTACAGTCCGTCCACCGTAAAACGAAACTTATGTCACCTACCACAACAGCACTTGATCAGAAAGCACCCAGTGTTCTGCCAGTGGACCACAGACAAGGTAACAGTAACAGCAACTTTAGCATTTAACTGAAATCATGATTGATTGTTGAGTTGAAGCTTAGCCAAAGTAAGCCGCAGTCCTCAGCTGAAAATGTACACACGTGCGTTTGTTGTTCTCCACCTGGTTGGGCCGTGAGTTTGGGTTGTAACATCACAGTCAGGAGTTAACTGGGTGTCGGGGAGCTGCAGCTTAGTAAAACTTGTACAGCACTTGGGTGATGTTTGTGTCGGTAAAGTCAATGAAATAATCTGTAGAAGCTTTGAGTTCCCCAGTAACAGATAAATAATTAGACTGATTAAATCCAGTTTTGATGCAGTTTAATATGAGTGAGAGAAGTGAGACATCTAAATTGTGTCTAGTGTCTGATGTCTGCAAACAACATAGTTTTTCATATTGTTTACCAGTATGTACACTGTTCTGGTCAGAGACACTGAAGGAATGAGGTCATGACTTGTATTATTAGCAGTGTTGGTAATGTAAATGTAATGTAAATGTAAATGCTCCGTACTTGTATAGCGCCTTTCTAGTCTTTTCGACCACTCAAAGCGCTTTTACACTACATCTGCATTCACCAGTCACACACATTCATACACTGAGCCTAAGTGCTCAAACGGAAATTAACATTCACACTCATTCGTACACTGGCGGAACAGCCGCCAGGGGCAATTCGGGGTTCAGTATCTTGCCCAAGGACACTTCAACACGCAACCAGGGGGAGCCAGGCATTGAACCGCCGACCTTCCGATTAACGGCCAACCCGCTCTACCTCCTGAGCCACAGCTGCCCCAAAGTAACGCGATTACAGTAATGCATTACTTTTTGCTGTAATGCAGTAATATAAATATCATTACTAAAAAAAAGCGTTAATATTATAACCGTTACAATCTAAGTAACGCAAATGACAGTAACTAGTAATCTATAATGTATTACATTTTGGGAGTAACTTGCCCAACAATGATCATTAGTGTGGTCCAGGTCAGTGCTATCACTGCTACTAGCTGCCATTTCACAATGCAATCCCTGTGTCACATTAGCTAGCTAAAGTTGACACTAGTTTATCAGAGTGGTGTGAAAAAAGTTGTGGAAATGTGAGGATTGGTGTTCCAAAAACATTTAGTTAAGCAGCAAGTTGTAATATTTTAGAAATGCTGATAAAGCTCATATATGAGCTATCATGACATTGTGCCAATTTGTTTTCTGCCCTGTGGCTGTGAGCACATCTTGATTTTAAATGGGAAAAACAGTCTACAGTTGGAAAGCTCAGTGACGGATTTTTATGTGTGTGGACAATTATGGTGTTTAGCAGTTTAGGTAGCCACATAAGTAGCCTGATTGTTATATGGTACATGTTCCATGTCCCGTCCAATCACTCATCTACACAGTCACTACAAGCAGGCCGGTGCTCATTAATTCTGCTACACTCACACTGCTTCTCAATGTTCCTGAACTACCTGCTGCACCTCCCCAGGCTCATTCTGCACTACCATTAACTGGCTTCAAAAGATTTTTTTCTTTAATGTGCTCATGTTCATCAAAGTTGTGTATTCCAGGCTCCGATGACTCGTTTGTGAGCTCAGCAATAGTCTGTGAAAAGCTAGCTCAGATTTGTTTCCGAGCATTATTTGGGCAGAATGAAACGGACAAATTCATTCATTTTTAAAAGAAATTGTTAAAAACTTTTGCCTTTGAGTGTGACTTAAATGATTTTATACCTGAGGCCAACTTTTGTGGCAGATATTACATGTCAATGTAAAACAGTTTTAATAACTTTGAGTGCTGTAATGTGTTACATGCAGGCTACATATACACCTGAGAGAAAGATGTGTATTAAACACCTGCATCACCGCAGGTCTTTGCATAGATAGCAATAGCTCTGCGCAGTTTTCAGCAGTGGTCTCTATAGTGTAAAACCAAACGTGTGAAGCAAATATAACACTTACAGTACATGTCTTTAATGACTATATAATCAATTTAAACTTCTTGTATGGACATTTTTGGTGTAATCTTGGTGAGGTGGTGAGAGGGCATGGTCTCTAAGATGTTGTGCTTCACTGAACTTTGTCTTGTATGTGCGTGTGTGTGCCTGTCTCAACAGACACAAATTTACATCGCAATCATGTCAGCTTAGCGTAACCTCAAACTCCTGAACAATCCCTGGGGAGTAAGTGGAGCATTTCTTTCTTTCTGTGTGTGTGCGTGTGTGTGTGTGCGTGCATGTGTGTACGCATGAGAGTGTACAGGATCGAACTGTCTGGGCTCAGTGTTGGTGATGTTGCATTTCCATAGTAATAGATATGCTAATCAAAGCCAAAGCATATGCTAATAAGCATGATGGATTGATGCTGCAGATATAACTCAGTTTGCTCTCATGAGGCGGACTAGAGGACACACACATACACAGACACACACATGTACACACACACACACACACACACACACACACACACACACACACACACAGAAGGTCAGTGAGACCACACGCTCGAAAACATATTATATTGCAACTAATCAAGTAACCTTTATCCATGCATTCAAGTTTGTACCTCTACATACTGCCAGTCACACACTCTCTCTCTCTCTCTCACACACACACACACACACACACACACACACACCAATGACTGCTGTGTCAGTTTCTCTTTAATGACCACAGCTATAGTGTCCGGTCATGCTGCAGTAAAGTAGATAAGGGTGTGTGTGTGTGTGTGTGTGTGCGTGTGTGTGAGAGAGAGAGTGGGATAGCGAGGAATCGAGAAACATTGTTGATAGACAATTATTCACTTCGTCTTTTTGGCTGAATGAAATCTCCAAGGTCATCTATCATGTGTTGAGCTTACTGTATTTTCTGAACTCAGTGTCTTTTGGAGGGTGGGTGCTCTCTCCAGGTAACAGTGAGACTGTAGCTGATGAGCTGATATCTGCACTGAGAAAAGGATAAGCCAGCAAGATGCATGCAGGCTCATGCACACACACACACACACACCTGCTACTAGTTGTGTGTGTGCGTATTTTTGTTTTACTATGTGCGTAGGGTCCAAAAAACAGGATTCACTAGTTTTGTGGGGACCATAATACTGGACCCCACAAGTTTAAATGGCTGTTTGAGGGTTAACACTTGGTTTTAGGGTTCAGTTTAGAATTAGGTTAAGGGTAGGTAAAGGGGTAGGGGTAGGGTAAGGTTAAGGGCATGTGGTTAGAGTAACGGGCTAGGAATGCATTATGTCAATGAAGTCCCCACGAAGATAGCAAGACAGGCATGTGTGAGTGCTCCAACTCCCTACTGCTGCAGAGACAGCGAGATATGTAAAGCGAAACTAAGAAAAAGATCATAAAAGAAGGAGACAGGTGTCCTTGACATGGATCTGAACCATATTCATCCCAAACCTGGCCCAAAAAAACAAAACAAACAAAGCCTGTTTCAAACTATTCTCTTTTTGCATGAATCAATCTCAGTCTGCCAAAACCCATCTGCACTTCATCAAAGCTGATATCACATCCGGCTGAACCAAACTTCCCAACAGCGCTCCTATACTTGTACAACCCAATCCAACCCACTCAGCACACCCACCTGAGGTCAAGTCCAGTATAGTATATTTATAACATTAATCCACTCCAGGTGCACATAAACTCCACAAACCACCCAAAACCTCATCAAGATACAGATACAGCTACACCCACCTAAACCCAAAATAAACCAACTCCAAGTATGCGCCCACACCCATTATATCCACCTGCAACTGCCAAAATCTAAAACGTAAACTTACATTATATGATTCAGTAAAGATAACCACCAGAAAATAGAGTCATGCTCATCCGAAAAAAGAAAAGAAAATTAGATGGCCATAAAACCTCAATATTACTAACTGTGTATCTGCAGCTTTTCACTTCAATGGGAGAACTGGGTTGGGACAGCAGGGTTCCCAATACAGAGAGCTTCGACAAAGGCTCACCTCGCAAAAAAGCATGGACTTCTTTGTTTGTATTTCATGCAGCCACCAACAAAGCCCCTTGCATTTTTTAAAACTCTGGTTCTATTTTGCGGTCTGAAAGCCTGCTACGGGGGACAGACAGCAGCACCCTCTTCAAATGTAGTGACTCCCTGTCACTTCACACACTTTAATAATTTTGACGGTAATGTTTCGCTGGCATCCCTATCATCTGCTAACCCCTCATCACCAATCTATGCAGACTGCCAAACATTAACACGAGCAGTCTGCATTCCCATCTGAGCGGTGAGACAATAGCTAGAAGAGGCACTTTATATCCAGCAAGACGCGCACACACACACACACACACACACACAGATCAGCAGGAGTCCAGCTGGGCCCTACTCATTAAGCTCTCACCACACACACACACATACACACACACACATGCCCCCTGTACCCCCGCTGTGTCAGAGTGATGGAGAGGCCTAAATTATTGATGAATCTCTATCTAATAGAAACCCCTGTGTGTCTGCGTGTGTTTGTCCTGACATCTCCCGGCCTATGGCTTAATCATCATCACCTAAGATAGTCATTTGGTCAAACAGCTAATTTCAGGGACACGACTGGGCAGCCAGGAGTCCAAACCCGTGCAGGCTGCAAACCCAGAGAGGGAAAGAGTGAGTTTTGAGAGGACAGTATGATTAAAGGTTGGCAAAACAGAAAAAAACATGAGCAGAACAATGCTTTTATATGCATATATCCTGATATCAAGGCATGCATTTTGTTGTATAATTGAGTGTTTGTTGTATTAATAGCAGATGGAAAGCAATATAATCTTTAAAAGCAGCATGCAGTATGAGTCATCCCATTAGTCTCTCTCTCTAATCTCCACCTTAATGAATTTCTCTAAGCTATGCTACATGAATACACAATGCACTAGCTACACTAGATCTGACCTTATAGAGTCTTATTGTCTTCACAAACACGCATACATAGCAGTACTCCCCAGTTTGAGTGAATCTCCTGTCAGTTTTGAAGGTTTCATCATTTGTTTTCGACACAGCCACGAGAGAATCAGTGTGTTCACAAATTTAAAGCCTTGACAACAGCAAGAAAGAAGGAAACACACATCCTTCCAGTTTCTACTTAGAAGCCTTAAATGTGACCCAGAGCAACTTGCATTATATTTTGTTCAGTTGCACAAGGATTAAAGTAAACTATATTTCACTCTTGACAGGCATGGCATTATGAAAGGAGGTACAATTTTTGGGGTGTTGGGCTTTTATCCTTTTACTGAGAGCAAATCCCTAAAAGAAAACTCCACCTCAGCCTTGCTTCAAACAGCATTGCTAATGCAATTTGTATTTCTGGGGCAATTCGAATGTTTTGGTTGTGTATTCCTACAGATACGAGGTCAAACATAGCTGCCATAAAATCACATCCCGATACGGAAACATGTGGAACCTCAATGCAGTTTAACATAAAAGCATAATGCTTTTTATAGAGAATAATGAACACACAAAACACTTATACACACACACACACACACACACACACACATATATATATTTATATATATGTATATATATTTATATATGATCAATTTCCACCAACTAATATAGAGCTACGTCTTCACCATGTACAACATAACAAATCAAATATATCTGAAACCTGGGAGCATTCATTTATTATCTGACCATACTGTATTCAGGATATTACGTTTTCACTGGTGATCGATTCACCCGCTCTTTATAAAATCTGAATAAGCCAGCCTCCACTTATATGAATGAGGGGGAATCCGGCAGACAGGACAAGAAAGGACTTTCACCTTAAGAATGAAAATGTTTTCTGCCTCTTCTCTCAAACATAGCAGTAAGATAAATGGAATTACTGTAACACAGGTGTTCTGCTGTAACATTGCTGTTGCTTTTACAGCTCTTCCTCTAATAACTTTTTATAACGTTTTATGTGTGTGTGTGTCTGTGGTCGTGTGTGTAATGTCTGTGGGTTTACCTCCACATAGAGAATGGGAAAGATGCCAATCTTGTCTCCCAGCATGCCTTCTGCCCAGTTATCGTCCACTCGCCTGATAACTGTCAGTACCTCATCCTGGACAGAAGAGGAAATGAGTGAGACTACACACATACACACTGGTGTTCTTGCATGCTGTATACAAAACACTTTTCCCAAGGTACACACACTGATTTCAGTTCATTTTAGGTGCTTTCATTTCAAATGCTAACCAATCAGCAGCTTTTCAGTTCAGTTCACGGTGTCGCAGATAATCACTTTTATATACAAACCCTCTAAGTATGTGTGAGTATGAGCGTTTTGCGAAAACATTATTATTTCTTGCAATTCTAACTTTGATGGGGCCAAGTGTTGAAAGCTTCCTTATTCTAGGTTTTGTGGCAGCAGTGTACAGTTTTGGAGTGTTCAAATCATGAAAAATGTGAGCTAAAACTGGTTTGGTGAATGTAAAACTGTATATGCAGAGGTGAAAACTGATGCATCTTACCATAGGTTGTGCTATTTTTGCAAATAGCTCCAAAATGACACTGTATAAAAGACAGTTTAACTATATATCCATTGTACTTACAGGACTGTATGATATGCTCTTTTTCATTGTAAAATATACTAATATTATATCTGACACTCATGGAAACATTGTGTTCCTTGTTCACCACACACCCACACCCACAGACTTCATCATGAAAGTATTTTCCCCTCTGCTGCTCCTCTCCTCTCGTGAATGCGAAGGTCTTGGTAAGACCATTAGGGATGGCAGTGATAATGGTGGTAAATGACTGTGTATTAGTCATACTGAGTAATTGCCTCTCACACTGAGAAAACAGTATCACACACACTGTTTCTGCTTGACAACACCCATACAACACACAACAGGGGCATGCGTCTCTGCGTGAGAGTATGGCTTTGTGTAATCTTCAATCTTGAACCTGTTGATTAGCTTTGCCCTAAAATGCCAAATAATGTAAACTATGGATATCTCATCATTGTCTGTAAATCTGGATGCAGAACAGTGTGTTTGAGACAAGGTAGTATCTACAGCAAAGTATGGCTATGCTTTGCATTGCTGTGATCAGTCGTAAAACACCTATAGTGAAGTCTACAGTACACTGTAATTTAATAATCTTTCTCTCTCTCTACAGAGACACAATTAGAGTGCAGAGACAGAGTGGATGTGTCGAGTGTTCAGTCCTAGCACAAATGAGTCTGTGTAACAGAAGGAACAAAATGATAAGCTTTGAGGAACAGAAGAGTATGCGGAATACAAATGACTCTTTACATCAAACCTAACCTGGATACACACTTCTGAAGGACTGGGAGGACTATAATTTTAGTGACACTTTAACAAATGGGCATGATTTTGAGACGTCAACAAGTCCTGTCATACACCTTTGATATGAACACGCCTGAGAGATTTAACACCTACCCAAATCCGAAATAATTATTTTAACATTTTTTACTTAATTTTCAAAAACGGAATGGGAACGACAGTCAGACCCGGGGATAATTAGTCCCAATCTTAAATGTGATCAACTTTATAAGATCCAAATAGAGAGAGACACCAGTATTGGTTGTGGCATGATGCTCTTCTAATTAACAAGCAGCCTTATTCAAAAAGAGCAGAAATACATGGCATTTTTCATGCACTTTCCTGTTCACACAAAAATTATTAGTTTGATGTCAGATGTCCCACGGGAGAAATCATCACTTCACTTTAAAGGGAGAGTAAGTGATTCTGCAGGATTGTTGTCAACGCAGCTGAGTTCAAATATCAAATACACGCACTTTAGTACTCCCTCAGAATTTTTTCCTTTTTTATGGACATGCGACTGGAGTCAGTGGAATTTGTTTTCGGTACAGCATGTCCAAAAAAGCTCATGTAGGCAGACATGATGTATTAGACAATAAATAATAATAACAATGTTAGATGTCACTCTGCCTTAAGGAGCTAGAATCCACATGACAAATTGTATTTGTGTGGAACAGTAATTCACCTGTGTAGTTTTAAATTCATGGTGGTGTAAATTTAGTTTTAGGGCCTTTCATCTATCTTTTTTTTCTTCCAGCTTGGTGGTAGAACCATAAGAAATTGACTACAAGCACAAAATATGTATCAGTTGCCGGCATCTTCATTCCAAAAATAGATTAAAAAAATTCTTATGGTCAGAGTAGACTGGTAGTTATGGGGAAATCTTTGTGGGCAGCAGCTGCTACTGTATGTTACCTCCATCCTCGAAATACCTCATATCAGACCCACTGGATTACAGAGCTAATGACTGAAATCAGCCACTGAAATCCCTCTCATGTTATCAAATTCAGTTTTAAAGCAGTGTAAAATGTTAAAACATGGTACAATAAAGCAAAACATTATACCAGTATAAAAACATCCTTTAAAAAAATCCCTTAACTAACTAGTGTGTATACCTCTTCACAATACTATGCAAATGATTTTCAGAGTTCCTTCCATTAATAACTTGTTCCATATCAAGAAATTAGTTGACTGTACCACAAAGAAGATTCAGATTTTAGCTACTTAAAAGTATTTTAGCTGACAGGAGTCTGATGAAGCTCATGTTCATGCAACAATATTACTACTATCAAATAACACATATTACAAACAATCACACTAATGACTGTCAGAGAAAAGCAGCAGTACAGCAACAACAGCCTATATATGTATCTGTTCTAACTGTATTTCTTTGGATGTGAAAGCTGATCATATTATTTTATTTACAAAATAGAAAAAATGGAGTACAAGCAAAATATGTAGAAAAAATGTGAAAACTGCAGTTCCTTTGGGAAGGAACCACCCAGAGCATGCAGTTGTTCAATCTGTTGTGTTTGACCTTGCTGTTGTTTACATTCTGGGAACCAAACACAAGAGGGGAGTCAGTGGTGACTGGTTTAACACCACAGATAAGTGTTTTATTCTACTACTCTATGTTACATATACAGCCATCCCTTCAATCTCTCCACTGATTGATACATATTTTCTTATTATTGCATTTATTCAGTGTCTGATATAACTGTACAGTGTCCTCAGTGAGTGTGTGTGTACAGCATGTGTCTGTATGTGAGTGTGTGTTACCTTGCTGAAGGCCAGACAGTCTTTATCCTGGTCTTTATCTTTGACCTCAAAGTCGTACAGTGCTTTGCCCTGGGGTGGAGTTTGGCTCAGGGGACGCAGCAACTGGATGTAACTAGCGGGCAAAAAACCATGGCAACCGTTAAGCTCGCCGTGGTACCAGTTGTCATCCACCTTGCGTCGCAGGATGATGATGTCACCCTTGGAAAATTGGAGATCGCCTGGTTCTTTTCCTTCGTAGGAGTAGAGGGCTTTTCCGCAAGGCAACGCTGGGATATTCTGAAAAATAATACACATACATACACTAACTGTACAAACAAAGCACTTTTATCTACATGCATCTGAAAAGCTGTAAATATTTTGTTCCTCACCATGTTGAGGAACAACATGTTCCACATAATGTACTGAGTGACACTTTTTTGTGTCTGTTTTTTTTGGTTTGACCTGAAGTGACAGTGAGATTTAAGTCCATTTTTTGATCAGTCTCTGGTTAGTTCGGGACATAGCATAAAGCCTAAAAAAGAAACAGTTCTGTTACACAAAATTCATTATGTTTACATTTTTTTTTCTTGGGAAATACTGGCTGTTTGGACCTCTTCAGCCCTCTTAAAATCCTTCAAATGAAACAATGTGAGAGGGACAAAAATAACTCTCTTCTCTGCACTGAGACCATAACCTGCGTGACACAAGCCAAAAAGATTAGGAAGCGTGAGGTTAGTACATTTACATGTTGCTGTTTTAGACACTGTATTTTGCTTCTAAATTGTTGTTTCCTATGTGAATGAGTAGATTACCTGCCAGTTATCTTACCCTACACTAGAAAACAGGGTCTCAGTAAGAATAGGGTACAGCTCCACATAGTGATTAACATAATAGGTTAGGTGACAGGTGCATTTTTACATAAAAATCTTGCATAGAGCAGCATTAAGTGCATTTTGAGACCTCTACAGAGGATTAAAAGCATTGCTGTCAAGTAGTAGTGCCACTGTGTGAGAACGATGCCAGATAACTGCATCTCACAAACCTTGGGGCTGACACTTTCCTCAGTTTACAGTGAACTGCATTTCATTATATTCTTCCTATTAAGACTGGAATGTGTGCCTTTTGTGCCATGTCTGGAACAAATCAGTTTCAAGTCAGTTAGTTGAACTGTTAACAATATAAAATGTGTTGTACAGGTGTATTTGCATTGCGCTCTACTCTTCATTTTTACATATTACCCCATATTTGAAGGAAGGTACAAATGAAGCAGTGACTCCTGCAGTGATAAGTAAATTCATTTTTGAAAGAAAAAAAAAATTCTGGGGAGTAAAGTGGTTTTGAAGCAACTCAAAACAGTGGAAAATCCAGTATGTTGCAAACTGTTTGCCCTGGAGACAAATGTGCTGAGCATGGGTAGTTGGATATGTGCTCCAAGTTTCATTTTATTCCCTCCAGCAGTATGTGAGATATGACTGGTTATTAAAATGTTTGTCAGGTAATTGCTGCCCCCACCTTGGGCCAAGTAATTTTGAAAATGCCAGAGCGGAGTAATGCATCACTCTCTGGAGTTTCATCAAAATCTGGTCTGTGGTGTCTTGCTTATCACATGTCAAGGAAGGACACACACTGATCCATTTATCCTACACAAACTCATTTTTTACATGATACCATACTTCTGTAGAAAATGATTAAAATGATGAATTCATCTCAATTCATGTTAAAGTTCTATTAAAAAGTTTTGATCAATTTCCACTTGACCGTTTGCTAACCCCCTCCCCACTAAGCTAAATATATATGTGCATATATATATATACACACATATAATACAGTAAAATACAAAAGTAAAAGTGCTATGAAAGGTTGACAGGTGTAGAAAACAACTGAGGGGAGTGGGGCATCAATCTAGGTGAAGTTATACAGGATCAAGTTCATATTAGATGTGGTTAGATTACATGTTGTCCAATAAAAGACCCAATCAACAAGTGTATATATTTTTTAACCTGTAGGTGACATAAAAGCTACATTTGTATACAACCAGACAGACAGATATTCATCATCACACCTATATTCACATTCTCCACCACGGGCAGCTAAACAAACACTGCAGCGTTTAGGATACGGTTAAACTGAACATGTTCTTGAAAGAGTTATTAAAAGAAAATTTATCTTAAAGAAGATCCAGGTAAACAAAGAGCAGCACTTAACTGAAGAGAGAATGCATGAGAGAAAAACTTATTTTCTTCCCAGAGGAGGTGTTTACAATAACACACACACACACTCTTATAATGTCACGTATAAACTAATTCTCCCCAGACGCTACACTAAAGAGAAAGGCCAGAGGCTCCGCTGCCTGACTGAACTGAGATCAGTGGTGACGCAATATGAGGAAACACTCATGACAAAATACTCAAAACTAATGCTGCTGTATGTAAACAAGGCCTGCAGACCCCATAAATATTACACCCAGAGGTGAGTGACCCCATTTACACCATTTAGTGTCTCATATCTGGATAAAATCCAGATGCAATTTAGTACATTTTCAGTTACACTAAGTCACTTATCTGTTGGCCAGGTTACAAATGTAATTGTAATCCATGAAAATCAGCTCTCCTCCAGTTCACCGGCTGGTGGTAATGTACATGAAGCTGTTTGGTAGCTGCCATGAATGCCAGAAGAATAACTCGTGCACTTTAGTACTACACTGACAATTAACAGTTAGTAATCAAAGCTATAAATAGCCCTCAACTAAACACATTAAATGCTCCCATGGATTAATTTACACTACTCCTTTACCCACACAGATCAATGTCACCTACTCAGATTGGTCAGTGGTCAATTTGATCAAAGCTCAGAAACACACTACAGCAGCACGTTGCATTTTCTGCATAATCATTTATGTTTGAAATGGCTGGAGCCAAGCCGCTAATTTCAGTGTAGCTTTAGCTGCCATTATCACAGGGGACAGAGCCTGCAGAGTCTCCCTCCACATAGTACTTTCTAACGTAGACCATAGATTGTATATAAGAAGTGGACGTAGTCATCGTGACGTCACCCATTGGTTTGTGGACTACCGTTTTTAAGCCTTGAGTTTGGCTGTAGGGCGCCGCCATGTTGAGTTTCTTGCAACCAGTGGGACCGAACCTGACCATATTTGGACAAGACGGAGGAGCTAATGGACGTTTGTAGAGCTAACGTGGAACTGTTATTTTAACAGAGCTGACAATTTTGTCTAGCGAACAACAGTCTTAAAACTAAATGTACTCACCAGAGAAAGTGAACAGCCAACTCCTAATAAGCTTTTTCAATGGCGTTGGTTAAATTTACCCAGTGCCGTGGGTACGAGTCACTCCAGCCTGATTGATAGGTCACCATGGTAATGACTTGTCAATCACAGATAATCCCCCCCCCTCCCCCCCAGTCTATTTTCCTCTAAATGGGACCATAATTTACTAAATGAACATCATATTGTATTGAAGAAGACATGAAACTAGTGATTGAGACCATAAACTCATTAGGAAAGTGTTTACTGAGGTAATTAATCAGCTGAGAAGTACGGTCATCCATCCATCCATCGTCAACCGCTTATCCTGCGTACAGGGTCGCAGGGATGTAGGGTCATTTTACCATTATTTCTAATGGAATTTCTAATGTCTTCTTTTTGCAACCAGAAGAGTTGCCCCCTGCTGGCTCTTCAATAGAATGAAGGTTTAAGGGACTTCCGCGTTCAGGTTTCAAACCTCAGGTTTCTGACCGGAAGCTTCCTGCTTGACATAAACATACTTGGGGGAAGTTCATTCTTACGTATGTGTCTGATGAATTTAAACCTTTGCAACATTGCGCTACAATGAGTCTCAAACCACCTCCCAAGACAGTTTAAGCAAATGGATTTCAATACTTTCTAGATGCATTTACACTTTTTTTTGACCAGATTCATCTGAGACACATGAAGTGACTATATGTAAATACTAGGGCTGACCCCTAATAGTCGAGGATTCGATGCTTCGATGGGCAGAGCCTGATCTCACAGTCGAAGCTTCACAGCCAAACAAGGATCATGCCATTTTGGCGATTTGGGGGTGCTCAACGTCTGATTTTACATAGCACTACCAGTTTTTTCCCCAATAAGTTAATATACAGCCTATTTATGCTGTAAATAAACATGTAAAAAGAAAAAAAAACTTTGAAGTGCATGAATAAATCCAAAATTGTAACCCTAACCCTGGGTCGTCAGTGCGCATGTGTGCGTAGGTGTATGTGTGTAGTGGCAGTGGAGGAACACTTGCTGAAGAGACGGAGCCCCAGCTTCACTGGTTTTGTGCCAAGTTGTCCACACCTCGTGGGAGTGTCGGATAATTTATCACCGTTGATGAACACACAAAGAATATTATAGCATTTTTAAACAGCCGGCTACTTCAAATAGACCCGCGAGGAACCGCAAAGTGCATGCAGTTGTCAGCAGCAGGGCATGCACGCAAACTCTGCATAAGACTGGTGAATGGAGAACAATGGAGCACAAAAACACACGATTCGCCTATCAGTCAACTATAGGCAGGGGGACATTATTCAGGGACAGCACTAGTAAATACATCTAATTTCAAAACTATGGACATTCTTTACTGCTATAACAGCCTCCACCCTTCTTGTTTCAGGCTTTCCAAAATCTTTCCACAAGATTTGGACATTTGGCTGCAGGGTTTTGCTCCCAATAATTCACAAGAGCGAGGTCAGGCACTGATGTTGGGCGATAAGACCATAATGATTGTTCACTCCACAAGTGTTGGGGTCGAGGTCAGGGCTCTGTGCAGCCATGTTCTTCCACACTAAACTCGGAAACCATTTCTTTACCTTACTTTGTGCATGGGGGCATTGTTGATTTCCCTCAATTGAAACTAAGGGCCCTAACCCAAACCATGAAAAACAGCAGTGGACCAAAAATACACAAAAACATATGAACAGGTGGCTATAGAGTGTAAAACACAGACATGAGCACATCTATATTAAAGGGTTCTGGCAATTAGTTGAAGCTGAAATAGCAGTACAAAGTCTACGCTTGTATTTCTACACCGCAGTTGAGCATTGTGTGTGTGTGAGTGTGTGTGTGTGTGAAGAAAAATAGCAAAAAGCACTGAATGGAGAAAGGGAAGAGGTGAGGGAGGATACGAGGAGAGCAGTGAAAAATCTGGATAACTTTAGGAAAAGTTAGTAAGTAGTTTAAGTAGTTAAAAGTAGTTTCAGGTCACTGGAGACCTTTTCCACATTAAACTGAAACCATGATCTCTCTCTAACTTAAACCATGT